ACTACTGTCCAATAGCTTAGTGGTTTTTAGACTTCAATGACACACAAGGAACACTGAACACGAAGAAAAAACATTTCAGTATCGGAAAAAAATTCCCAATGCTGTCCGAAGGCTCGAGAAAACCAGAAAACTAAGCTCCCCGCTGCTCCCCGATGGACCCCCGCTGTCCATCACTGCGCACCTGATGAAACGTTGCATTAACTGATGCGTGACAAGGAGCTCCACGCCAATGACTTGACAGTTTAACTCAGACAGCGGCCACATGCTCTGTATGTGAAGCCCCCCCCAAGTGAATCAGCATCACTCGGCCAGGTGAAGCGCGCCACAGTGACGCTCCACGGCTCAGGCCTCTCTGAGAAAACACGGCGCAATAATGAGGAGCCGTGTGAGGGGAGCCGTCAGCATCCGAGCAGAAGCGTGAACAGATGACATCACGCGGGAACGTTAAGGAGGATCATGAGCTTTTCATTCAGACGGAGAGGATTATAACGATAAGGGAGTCCCGCAACACCTGCAGCTCCTGGCAGACGTCCTGAAACTGAGTCCAGTTTAGTCTGAAGCACACGGATAACATAGAACAAATGGGCACAAACTAAAGCTCAATTTCAGATTAAAGGCATCCACATGCTAAAGGAGGAAAAGGGAAAGAAATGGTTTGAAAGGTTAAATGCGAGATGATGACATTAAAGAAGGTAAAAGCAATAGAATGTTCCAACGTATATTAATTTACTTTTATTTGAGCTGCTGGGAGGTAAATATGTGTTGGACAAAAGAGCAAAAACTGAAAAAGTATAATAAAAAAGGACGCTAAGCACCACCGCCAGGAACAGATATCACAAGAGAATAATTCTCAGATTAAATTTAAATCACTGTCCACTGACAATTCCGCAAAGCACGCTCTCTTACATTGATGTCACCAGATTTTCATGAACCCAAAGCATGTTTTTGATGTCGTCTATGGACAGCGTCTCATCTCGTCCCATGCATTATTCTGTGAGCGCTTCCTAATGTTGCACTTGACATCATTTGTGGCGGAGTGGCCATTTCCTCGCTGAATTCAACATCACTGACAACGCCGGCCCGAGCCACTCTGCTATTTAAATGCATTTCAGTTATTTAGGTCAACAAAACATGTTTGTAGAATCAGACGGGTGGATTTCAGACACTTCAACGATTGCCTGTTTTATTTGAGATCCCCAAAAAAAGGCAACACGAGCTGCCTGGTGATGCATGTTTGTAAGCTATTTTGCATTAATGCAACTCAAAAACAAATGTTCATAACACACTAGAATTGTTCCGCTGCCCTGTGTATATTTATGTAAAGTACTTGTAGACAATTATAAGCTGACATATTTTATTATGTTGTTTGTTATTCGTATGTGAAGCAGCCTGGAAGTGTTTCCTGACGCTTCGATCACACTCAAGAGTCCGGCTGGTTTTCCTCGGGGAGGAATTTTCTGTGATGTGACAGTGATTCATAAATTAAGAGTAAAACCGCCAATTAGAGATTTCACAAAAGCAGATGTTGTGGTTCGTTTGGTAGAAATAGTGCGGGGCCACAGCTTCAGAGCCGTTTATGTGGTTGTTGTTGTTGTTTTTAATCATCTGCAATATCAAAGTTAGTGCAACATGAGCTCCATTATTGGGTAAAAATAGAAGCACGTGTTCTCCGGCAGACCAAGGATCAGGACCCATTTCCATCACGCTTCCCTCAGTGTCTAAATAAAGACTAAAAGAGTGGAGGTGAGACGCCAGAACGAAACAAAAATCAAAGCTTTTTTTAAAAAATCAAGCAATTTTAGGCAAAGTCTACCAGCCATTTACCTCATACAGACTATTTATAGTAATCAAATGTATTGGAGGTATCAACGAACAAATGTTGTTTGGAACTTAAACCAGCCCGTAAACATTTCAGCGATGAGGCTAAAAGACAATATTACAAAATATGAAGTTGCTTAAACGGTTCGTCCTCTAAATATCTGTTTTGTCCTTGAAGCGACGCACAAGGGAACGCAGCTGACTTCAGGTCAGTGAATGTTGCCCTCAAGTGGAGAGTCAGTGCAAAAACAAAGAGGGACAACAGTGACGCGCAAGCTGTTCATCCTTCTGACTTAATCTGAAAATTAAGGCTCTGAAAATAATGTACATCCATGAATAAAATGAATCGGTCAGGTTTCATTTTTACATGAATATTTCAATTATATTTTACTGTATACTTCTATTCCACACTATTGCAGAAGGAAAAGTGGAGTTGTAAGCAAGTACACTTATTAATAAATACTATGGCCTTTCTGTGATGCTGCATTTTTTCAATATATTACATCCAACATTACTTTCAGTGCAAATCTTGATTGTTTTTTTTTTTTAATTTAGTTTTTTTCGTGCATTCGTTTCTTCCATCTTTCCGCTCGCGTCGTTTCGCGTCGGGAATCTCCTGAATGTGCCGAGTTCAGCAGGAACGTAACGAGGTGCAGAAAACGTTTCTCCACAATGCAGCGCAGCAACAGGCTGCGGGAGCTGCTGTAGGATTTTGGACGAGGTGAAGACGCTCATCTGGCTAATGATCAACACTCATCACACTGCCCAGAAGACTACAGATGTATCCGTGAAGCCAAAACAAAACAACAAATGATGGATGGTTAAATGGATGATCAGGCCGGTTGGTTTGTGGTGTTTTATGTTTTATTCAAGAGACAAAAAAAGAAATAGGAGGGCGGCATTTTGAACGCTGATGGATTTGTTAAAACAAGAGTTATCGCTGTAAACGCGCCTCTTAAAGACATTAATTACCAGACTATTCAATGCGTTAAGTTGGAGATAACAGTAAGACTTATTTAACCCCAGTCCCTGATCCATTTGCCACGTTTTACCGTCATCGCGGGTCACATTTGACATTTTCCTTGAATATTTATTTTTGTTTCTAAAGACCCAGAGCGCAAAACATGGTCTGAATTTGGCTCACGTGACTCTTCCCGCTGACACAAAAACGCACAACACGTATATTTCAATCACCCCGACTAGTTGACAGCTCTTCTCATCCATCCGCCCGACCTCTTTGACCCGCAGACTAACTAATCAAACGGTTTTTAAATAAAGGGTCGTAGCTGTGTGATGGGGGACATCTAGCGGCTCAGAGGGGGAGACACAAAGGAATCTGAAGGACTCGCTCAGTTTGACATCACGCAGCATGGAGAGAAAAGATGTGAGCTGATGCAGCGTTATTGCATGAGCTCACAGTCCGAGGAGTCACTCTCACTTGTTTTATGGACATTGGATGTGATACGAAGTGTGCCAGTAAAAAACTTGTTTTTTTTTTATTCTCCACAATGAATCTGCTGATACTGGATCTGAGCAGAGACGTGGAGAAGCTTCCATTCTCACGCGTGAACAAACTCCCAAACGCCGTGAAGCTGCTGCCAAAGTCAGCTGGCACCAATGAGACTTCACCACGGAACGAACACTTGAGCGTTTGTTGTGATGAATGTCTTCAAACGTGCATGTTGAGGACTGGAAGCCAGGATTCGAGGCGGGTTTGGCAGGAGACTCAACAAATACAAATTATAAGTGTGTTATTTATTGAAATGAATGCCATCAAGATCCTTTGCTTGATGTGTGTACTTTTCAACCAAAACGACGGAATCAAACCCACCGATTCACGTTCAGATAGTAAAAGCTGCACAACTTTTATTTTGTCACCTTTTCTAGACAATGCTTCTCGTTTAAAGGAAATCACTTTGCTTATTTTCTTGTACTTACATCTTAAATTTATGGAAACAAACACACTTTGTCATTTCAAATGCAAATCTAAAATGCAGAGCTTTCCCCAAAAAATATGACAGCAGTTCTGTAACATTTATTCATCTTTGCCAACTACTAAATGATCCATGTTTCAGGATGGTAACAAACGAGTCCACTGTGGAAGATAAAACGAAATGTTTAATTTAGTGTTCATTTGTTCCACTTTGAGAAAGTGAACATCATTCAGAGAGGATAAATCTTAATCTTGATTGAGCCGATTTGATCCCATTTGACTGACGGAAACAACCACACACCTGTAATCACATTCAAATGTTCCAAAACCCAGAGAAGCACATGAAGATACACGACCGTTTACCGAAACGGCTCCCCCTTCTTCTGGCCCCCTCACTCGGACCCCCACCCGCCCACAGGGTTGACGTTGACTACACACCCGTTAAGATTTAACATCTCAAACTCCCAATCCCCCGGGTGGTCATTCCTGCTACAATAGAGTTCAGGATAAAATGCCATCAAACAAACGTCATTTAAAATAGTCAAACCACTATAAACCCGGCGAGAGGTTGTGAGAATTTATAGAATTGTATTAATAGAATTCACTATATGATGATCAAGCTGAGCACTGATATTAGCTGTTCTATTATATATAAAACAGCATGGCAGATACGTTCCACTTAGTTTATGACTTAATTATGCTGCAATAACACTCTTCATCCCGAGGATGCCAGTCGTCCAACAGGACGAGTCGTCCAGGGAGATGGAGGAGGGGGAAGGGGGGCAGCTTGGCACCCGTGTTGCAAATAAATTGTGTAGTATACCTACAAATTGTGAACAGACACCTTTAAAAAATTTTTTTTTTAAAAAGGCCTCCAGCAGCAGTGCCAGCTGCAGGTCAGAGACAGAAAGGTTTACGGTCTGCAGGATGTTATCTAGGCTGTTTGGGGATCAGGCTTGAGGCCTGGAACGTGAATCACAAGCAGACGGGGTGGTTTAAATGTAGGCCGACGCTTCTCCAGCAGTGTTTCAGGGGCCCACGGAGAGAAACTCACACCTTCACACACGCCTGTATGAAGATTCAATTAATACTTCTCCATACTCTTGGGAGTCTGTAGTGCACCTGCACAGACACTAAAGCGATAAAAACACTCTGCTGCCTTCAAACAGACAGAGAAACGAAGCAATGTGACAGTAAATCAGATCATGTGAAAAGGCAAAATAAACCAAAATATGACACCTGAACCATCTCCTGTACATAAACACATTTTATTTAGCCTGATATAGGTTACACATGGGGGGGGGGGAAACAAATCTAAAGAGAACTACTTCCCTTTGTGGAGCTAATGATATGAGTTTTAAATCAGCTTAAGATCCCCACACGACAGCTGTAAACATCAGTTGTGAGGAATTAAGCAGAACCACATGCTACAACCGACCTGAGGCCTTTTTCGTTTAAAAAACAAACAAACAAAAAAAGAAAACATCAGCAATCGCAATGCATGTTTTCCTACTAAAATGATATGGAATGTCATCTTGGAAATGTAGGTAGAAAGCAAAACAATTCTCTGCAACAGCAGAAAACTAGATCCGAAAATGAATGGAAAAAAAAAAACGATTCCCAGAATCTTGTTCGCAAGCTGCTACTGTGTGTGAGGCGTTAAGAGAAACACCACCTCGGTCCAAAGTGTGTTCAACGACGGGAAAAAAAACACTGAACCCCGCCGCTCTGATTCAGTCTTATCTTAAAAACGTGGATATGAACAGAAAGCACAACCTTAATGCTCAATAGTACAGATTAGATTCACACTGCAGATAAGCTTAGGAGTCTTATACATCAGGCCCGACGTCAGGAACAAAGAAAGGGGCTGATGGGGGGTAATGGGGGTCGAGGGTCTCAACATCTAACTAGTGTACGTCTTTCTTTTTACTTGTAAATTTCACAAAGTGCAAATTCTCATTTATATTACATCATAAGCTATTTTAGAAATTGTTCATTTCCTATTATATAACAATGAAAAATGGTTAATTCCACAAGCCACCCCCCCACCAGCACCCCCACTTTGCCATCATGGAATCAACCAACCCCCCCTCCCGCCACCTATCCATCTCAATAGTTAAAAAAGGAATCACTAAATGCATGCTGCAATGCGCCCACCCATCAGTATGGAACGGGACCTGCGCCTCCTCTTTGGGCTCTTTGAGTCTCCTACAGTACGTTGTTATCGTCAGCGTGCGGTTATAGTTCAAATATATATATATATATATATATTAATCTATCATTAAATAGTGTGCCGCTTGCACAGTCTCGCATGCATTGCAGGAGCATCGGGGGAGGGGAGGGGGGGGGGGGGCTGTACAAGGAGGAGAGGCGTGTGGACGGACTCGCTCAGGCTGCAGGCTCCGGCTCCACGCACTCTTTCGCCAGCTGTAAACGGTTTTTGCCCTTTACTCCTTCCAACCACGTCAGTCCAAAAGACGGTTCTCCAGTGTGTTTTAGTCACATGAGCATTTGTTTTGTGTGTACGTGTGTGTGTGTGTGTGTGTACGGTCTTAAACTCTTTCACAGAAGAACCGTGTAGATCACTGGAGTTTTGTTCCAAGCTTTCGTTGTCTGTTCCTGAAATAGAAAAAAAAGTAATCCGAGTCAAACTCAAGGTCCGTTGAATACGCCGGTTAACCTCCCAAACACATTTAACTTTTCAGTATCTGAATTTTCCGCGTTAAGTTCAAACACTTTTGGGGTTTTTTTTAAACAAACAAAATAAGTGTCAGTGTCAGAAACGTACCTTGCCTCTGATCTGGTCACGGTATACTCAAACCATAAGATGTTGGGAATCAGACTTGTGTCTCGCACCAGGAAGTACTCGGATATTGGCCTACACATTAGGAAAAGATTTAAAGAACAAATGAATAAAGCACCCACGGTTGTGGCTAGACAGCGAGTATAAACTAGTTCCATCTACGCCTCCAGGCGAAGGTCGACTCCGCTTCCCCTGTGACACAAGGAGGAGGCTAAGAAATTAGAGCACTACTTACCACGCCGCTATTTTGGGGAATAATGGTGTCAGCATCTCTTGTGTGATAAAGAACCAGATTATGGCAATCGTACATCCGGCCACTGCGCCATAGAAGACCTGGCTCCAGCTGTGATACAGCAGGTAGACCCTGAGAGCCAGACGGGGGCAAAACAACGTTCAAAGAGAACACGGCTTGGGCCTGGAGTCCTGGATCAAACTAAGTGGAGCAGTATGTGCTTCAAATAGTATCACTTGGGATCTGTGAAATGGGGTTGTAAAGCAGGAGGGGAAAAATCTGGCTAGATATATATATATATATATATATATTATTTTAAACAATTGTTGCCGCCTCACCTGCTGTATGAGACCGATAAGGCCGTGCCCAACAGGATGATGGACAGGATGTGTCTCCACAAGAGGTCCACGCATCGAGCATTGTTCGTTTGATGCATTCTGAAAAGGACCCATCAGCATGAGTTTACACGATGACATCAGCCTCATGGAAAGGTGAAACGTGTAAAGGGTTGGAATCAAAAACACGGTAATGAGATACAACAAACTAAGTAAATAACAGATACCAATATAAAGAATGTGCCTTAATGACATAAATGTGGATAAATGTGACAGGACAAGTATTAAATGCACTTATTAGGTCCAGTTTAAAAATATATATTTTCCTTTGAAATCGATAGGGGTTTTAAACAAAGAACCTAAATTTGATGCGTTTACCGACGTTTGACTTCAGCGAGGATCTATGATTCTCACTAATAGCACAGCTTTACATTTCCCCTCCTCCCAACCTTCCTTAGGACAAGAAAAGCATCTCACCTTAAATAAAGGAAAAGAAAGAAGTAAACAACAAAGAACCACATAAGCTGCGAATGACTGGAGGGCATCCCATACTCAGTGTGTAGGGTTGTGTGGGTTCCTGCAGAAAGACAACATCACCTGATGTAAATATACATTATAAATTATTTGGTCAGGTCAAACTTTTTTTCCCAGGCTGCTGAAAAATATCTTAACCTTTCTTAAAATACACATTTAAACAGAGGAACAAAATGTGCCTGTACTGTGGTACGGAGGTAATGCATTTCCCTTATGGGAGCTTTTCGGGAAAGGGTTGGTCAATAGCAAGGAAAAACAAATGTGCCCCTATTTTGATATATGCAATCTCAACACACAATCCAATGTGATATCCTGTTACGTGAGGATATAATGTGGGTATAGAATGTCAATAGTGTGTTCACAATCACCTGCACATGGGCGCGGTTCTCTGAGAATGTGCTTCAGCACCCAGTTCACTGCTTCATTCAGGATTACTCCTCCAAAGAAGGAAATCTGTACAACACAACTGATTTTATTAGAAAGTAAAATCAATAAGGTCAACACAGGAAACGTCTCCAGACGTCTTGCCATCCTCTCAAAATTGACTTTAAAAGTGACCCTGTGAAACTTTAAAGTGCACATGCACAACTCACCGTGTGCAGCTCCCGTTTAAACACGATTAGTGTAACAAAACCCACGAGGATCGCTATGGGTAGGAGGCTGAAGTAGGCCAGCACATGTCCCGTCAGATCGCCTAAAACAGAAGAGACACTAGTGAAGAGGATCCTAAAACACCTTAAACTAACATCGAACTCCTCTAGTGCCACTAAGGAGGCACTCAATGAACCCGGATGCTTGATGTCTTTGACTGAATACAAGTAGGAAGCTGTCGCGGTGACGCAGCGACGCTATCCATTACCAACGTTGCACATTCATTTATTTAGTGAACTTGGAAAGCTCGGTGCTAAGTGGTTTATGCTAGTTACACCAACCAGTATGCGACCATGGAGCTAGCGGCTATATTAGCCGTAGTCTTGGCTGCAACGCTATAAAAAGGTAAAATAGCTGGTTATTTCCACTAGTCGGCAAAAATATGTTGCCGTTTACGACGCCTTAATTGTTTTGAGTAATCGCTACAGCCTGCCCCACATTTGCTAAATGCAAAGGGTAAATATCAAAGCTGATATCGAAGCAGCTAACAGGCTAGCTAGCTTTCATTGTGGACGTTAGCCACAACTGCGCACGCGCACCTGTCTCACAATTTGGCAGCCCGGCTAACGTTGCCCTCGGCGCTCGACGTTTCGCAGCGTCTCACTATTTGGCGGTGTCGCCAACTGTCCGTGTCTGCTCAGTAGCGAGCGCGCGCAGTGTTGGAGTAAAAGGGAAAACTACAACGCGGGCTAGCGGCTTGCACCTTCGCTAGTTAGAGAAAAGATGACGCGTTTAACTTACCCTCCGGGAACTCTACGTGTGTCAGGGATATGGACCGCCATCGAGATGGTGCCGAGCACTGCTCTTCCAACGCCATCTTACCCCGGACACAACCGGGCAGCCCCGGTGAAACGCCCCCAGACGACGCGCTTAACCAATGGCGAGCGGAGCCGTGTGTTCGAGACGGGCCCCGCACGCGGAGGAGCCGTCCAATCACAGCCGAGCACCGAAGACGCGATAAAACGTTAGTCCCCATAGAGGAGAATTATTGAATGAACCAAAAAAACACACTAAAGTCCAGTACTTCACAAAGCTCATTCAAAAAATAGATAGAACACACGCTTCAAGGCCTCCGACATCTTCATTGCAAACTTTGTCTGAAATCCAATTCATGCATATTTTCTGTAAAACGTGAGCTAAAAATATGCTTTTGTTTTCAAGGAGAGGGCGAAAAAGACCAATAATTGTTTGAAGACAAATATTAAAGGTCAGGCAATGCATTGATGCTTTAGAATGGTGTGTGCTCATGATGTCCTCTGCTTGTGTTTTAAGGGCTGAATTAAATTTACAAAAATGAAAAGAAATTTTCCGTAGATTAAACAATGCCTCACTGCTGCGATGTGAAGAAGACTGAAGAGGGTTTCTGAACACCTACGAGTTGAGGACCCTCCACTGGCCTTACACTGAATACACACAGAGCTTTCACTTCTCTCCAACTGATTGACTGATGACTCAGATTACTGTGTCATGGTCTAAATAATGAATATATGTGTCCTGCATCACAGCACAATTAATTTGCTGTTGCAGCCAACAACCAACTTCATTATTGTTGGCAATACTCAGAATAAACTAGTTTTTAATCTTAATACTATGGGGGTCGAATGGCCAGTTAAGCCGTCAAAAAACTATACATTTTTCTCAATTATTCACACTTCTGTCACTCTTAAAAAGATTAACCTCTCACCTTACTAAGAATAAATAATCTTGTGTTTCAGGAAAGTTGGTACGATGAGCCGTCATCAGTTGGCAAAGGGCAAAACAAACGTATAGTTTAATAACAAAAAATAACATTTAATATGGAGGATCAAAATGAATTTACAGTTTGTGCTGGCATTGACACTTAACGATAGAAAAGACAAAAGGCATGAAAAGGACACTCGCAACGTACAGCAGTGAAATCGTCCTGTCTCAATTTTGGCCATCTGAAATCCTCGTAAAACTCTTTACTCTATAGAATCTTCGCCAAGTAGTAGAGCACATTTCAGAACTCTGACAAGTTGTTCTGAGTCAGCTTCTCTAGCTTCTTTCTAGCTTGGATTTTCCAAATGAACAACAATTGTAGCCTCTAAAAGTTACAAAGATACACTGATTGATGCATTTCAGAGAACGTCAACATGCAGAGGGATTCATCTCTGATCATCTGCTCTCAGGACAGAGACAAAGCAGAGTAAGACTAGACTAAACATTAGCATTCTTTTATAATTGCATTCATACTGTTGCAAATCAATGGTCTACATTAGCAGGTCCAACAGTCAGGAGAACGGACGGGATCAGCAGTCAAAAAACTCTATTGGAGAATTTGAACATTTCAAACAAGACTAGAAAAAAAAAAACGAATTTCCATAAAATATTTTTTGGGGAAAGTTTCAATACTGTACAGAATTCAAACTCTGTTATCAATAGTATGTCAGTTCTATAATGCAATGAGTTGTTTTATATATATATATATATATTTGTACAGATGATCCGATCATACAAAACGAGCTGTGGGACATTCCTGTATCTTCCTGCTTTTGGCATAAAGTGCAAAATGCTTAAAAACACAAAGCTGCACCTTAACAAAACAAAAGTCTATTTTAGTGTAGAGTAAAAGCTCTATTTACAGTTGGATGTAAATGCCGGACAGTAACAGAAATAATCCCGGGCCGTTGACTCTGAACGGCATCAGGAGCCGGATTTGGATTATCAAGACCTCAAAACAAACACTTGTGTGACTATGAGGAACATGTAGATGCTTATTTGAGTGCTAAACTATCATCATCATCAGTGCACTTGCAAAGGTTAGTCTGACTGCACAATGCTCTTCATCGCAGGTCCCTAAAACGTAGATTGGCACGGTTTTATTCATTTATTGAGGTTTGTCAATTAACGGTTTACTAAGATGGAAAATTAAAGTTCTGATATGACCATGTGCACTTTGTGAATCTCAGGAGGTATTTTTGCAGCCCACAGTAGGACAGGGTGTGTTTTAAATAACCGTGTGTTATTATTAGTGGGAAGTTTCTTTATGAACCCTCAGTGGCACTTAAAATGATTATTTAGATCATCTACTGGCATCTAGTTAGAGAACGTCAACCTTTACAAAACCTTTGCATGTTGGCGAGATCACTGCCATTTCCAAGAGAACGCAGCAGAGAGTCAAAACAACCCTGTGGGATAATAAACTTCAACATGAATACCATGTAAACACACTTGACAAATGTGTCAAACATGTCTTTTTGCATTGAACATCTAACGTTGGGCAATTAAATCACATGGGATGAAATAAATACTTATTCAGATGAAGGACGAGACAAATTCATGAAGTCCTTAAAGTCTTCAGCAGGCCAAACCTTCAAGAATTATTATGGATTTCATAAATATCCCTCCCCTTCAGTATAAAACATACAAACGCACATTTCTCACATAATTATGAAGACCAGGATGTTCCACAAGTCAGATGGACAGAAGGTCCTCCGAGGGACTCGATCGATGTGTGATAATAGCGGAGGAGGCCCGGTCTTCCTGTGTTGGGAGCGCTTGGTCCAGATGAGGTTTTAGGAAGCATCCACGTCATCGAACAAGGCCGAGGCAGGTTTTCACAAGTCGGGGAACCCTGAGGGACTCTAGTAGTCTTAGTTGGGCCCGGATGTGCCCTCTGCGTCTCTGGACAGGGCTCCATTGACCTCCAGAAGACTGCTGATTCCCAGGTAACCCAGTAAAATCTCACTCCGGCGGTGGGAAAGCTTGAGGATGTCCTCGGCCAGGCACTGCGCCGAGGTGAAGCGGACTTTGTCGTGATCAAACATATCCTTCAGGTACTGCAGGATTTGTTGCTGCAGACGAAAAAAGGAGGGACGTGAATGACTCGAAGAAGAAGCTATGAGGCTTCCAGGGCAAAGTATGTGTCGCGCACACTTTAACAGTAATTGGCTTTCCAAACCTAGTTGTGTGTTCTCTCACCTTGAAAATGGTGCACACCTCACTTAGGTGCTGCCTGGGTCCCAAAAACCCAAAAGCTAAAACTGGGCTCACGTGTTCAGATATGGCATAGAAGTGGGAGATAAAACCATCTGGGACCTGCGGAGAGTACGAGAGGAACGCAGCCATCAAAACCAAAGACACAAAGCCGCAATCGATCGCTTTCGGTCTTTGAATCAGCTCAAACTCACCATGAGAAGACGTCTTTTTGCTTTTAGGACGGACCAGCAAGCAGTTGCCAGAGCCTAACAGAAATAAACGCAGTTATTGGAGCGATTGGAGGAATAATCAAAGAATTGTCACTGTGTGTGTGTGTGTGTGTGTGTGTGTGTATTAACCGTTTCTTTAAAGCTGTCAGAGAGCCAGCGGTTCCTCAACACAGCTACCACAGAGGAGGGAGGATTCTCCAGGTCTTCAAACGAGTCCATCAGGATGAAGTCCAAAACAATGTCAAAAAAGTTCATACACACCACCTGCAGAGATCCACCCCATTATAATATATATATAGACACACAATAAGTTTCAGTCTACCAGCTTCATGTTGTCATGACTCACCCCTCGACCCTCAAGCTCCATCTTAGTGACGGGCCACGTCTCTTCTCTCTTGGTGTAAAGCAGCATGTCCTCATAGCTCTCCAGGAAGCCTTTGGGACTCTGCGTTAAGAGAACACAGGAGCTTAGTTCCAGCTGCGCCGAGACGTCCACACGAGATCGTCTATCCAAATAAGATGAGTTAATAACCCAAATCCAAGTGAGCAGCGTTTACCTTATTTGCCTTCACCATCAACCCGACAATCATTTGCTTCCCCGTCTCCATGAAAAATGTGCGATGACTTTCATCTAACAACAGGACCTGGAAATATTTTAAAAAAGCACATCAGTGCCTAAAAGTTAGGAAAAGAGGGGTCGTCGATAATTACAATTCTCCATGATGCAGAAGCGAACATGGGCAAGATGCAGGAGGTGGAACGGACCTGGAATGCTTGTCTCACACATTGAAGCTTGGCCAGGAAGTCTTGGTCACCAAAACATTCAAGTAAGTCGGTCCTTGTAAAAAAAGAGAGAGAGAGCGAGAGGCATGTTGTCATTTCAAGTACAAGTTGTGTTCTCCCCCGACACAAATGACTTGTTTGAGGAAAACAGCAGCTGCTACATCTGAAGAGATGATGCTGATAATCCCAGTGAGGGTGAAACAAAAGTGAAATGAGGTCAGTTGAGAACTTGAGGTTTGTAACTATGAACGACTTCTTTGACATTAGAAGGAAATACCTGAATTCACTGTTGGTGTTAAAAGCTACTGATTGGTACGCAGCTTTTAGCATTTGGAGACGGCACACTTGGCAGTTACCTGAGAGACCGATAGGACACTTTGTTCTCCCGGACCAGAGACAAGGCTTCCTCGTAGAGAGCTGCTGGTTTGTGCGGCTGGTAGACGTCTTCTAGAGACAAGGCGTCGAACAGCTGCGCGGAGGGAACACAGGCGCCTCAGCACGCACATTTTTTGCTTTCTGTCGGGTGTTTGCAGAGCCGAGGAAGGGGACTGACCTCCGCGGCTGAGAAGAAGGACTCGTCGGAGGTAACGGTGGTCGCGTCGTCGTCCCGCCGCCTGTGGAAACTCCCCGCTTGCGGCAAGATAAGAGTTCCTTCACTCTCTGCCAAAAGAACACCACGAACTCTGACTCGCCGGAGCCAAACACGTGCACTCAACAGGAATATTCCCTTCGCTCTTATGAATTCGTACGCGAATCCAACATCGCTCTTACCGAAATCCGCCAGTACGCTGTCTGTCGGGATGGTACTGCCAAAGTCCTCCTGCAGGTGGTACGCCCTGTGCAGTAGCGTCTCCAACTTCTCAGCAAACACGTTGTTATGGCTTTCACCCTATAAAAAGAAGCAGGGAAAAAAAAACAGCTATATGACTTATGTGCTCCGCTATGAAACCAGAGTGGAAAGTAATCCAACCGCGTACGAGAATACCGAGCACACCAGGAAGGTGAATATTGGTTGGTACGGTTACCGTTGGAAAGTCCTCACACGCCGCCCCCTGCAGGGCGAGGCTGTTGTTGCTGGAGGTGGAGTGGGGGTGGTGGCGGATGTTGAGGGCCTGCTCCCACTTGTGTAGAGCTTCCTCAAAGAGCTCCATCCCTACAGGGAGGACGGCGGTGAGACGTCACGCAGCCACGGCGACCAAACATTGTAAAAACACACAATGACCCTTACTAATCCATCATGAGCGTTGCCCTCATTTTGGCAATCAAGCACACGTTTTTTTAAAGTAGTAAACCCTAACCCTATTCCCGACTAAAAGCACTAAAGAAATACTGAAGCCGAAATGCATCCTTCTGTTCCACACACTACATTTAAGGCAGCACAGCTGCCTGACATGCAGCCTGTGTATTACGTCATTATAAAACCAGGAAACAGCTACCCAGTATGTAGAGATTCTCTGCATTTGCATCCTCGATTGCCCCCGACTCTTCCACCACAGGCTCCGTTTCCCAGGGTGTGGACGGATTGGCTGCCTGACTTGGAGAGTTTGGGACCCGCGTCTACGACGGGAAACACGACACATTATGAAGTTGGAATACAGAAAAATGCCGCCCCGGATGATATGGAATTAGTTGCAGATTGTAAAAGACTAACAGATGCCAGGCTGTGTGAGGAGCTTGAGTGTTTACTGGGGGCCAGGGAGGAGATTCCACTCATGGTGTCATTGCTCCGGGTGCTGGGACTCATCATCTGTCGGCCGGTAAACGGGCCTGCGGAGAGGAAAACATTCTCTCGTATGCCTATTCCTCCATAGATGATGCATTACAGAGGCACGGTTGGAGCTTTTCCCTCCGGGCGTTAAGTCGTCCACACCTCTCTTAAACGACGAGGGTCTTCCTGGCTTCATCAGCGCCTCTGGTACTCCTACTGTCTTCTGGCCCTCCTTCCCTTGCGTCGCCTGCTTCCTTTTTCTCCCCCGCCTTTTCAGCTGATGAGCGGTGAGAGCCAGGGCGACACTGCCCAGCGCCGTGGCGAACAGGACCTTCTTCAAGTTCGGGGTGAGCTTTAGCTGAGAGAATATGGACTGAAAAGCGGGACAGACAAATGTAAAAGGCGTCAAACATGGAGGGATCTGCGGAAGGCGCTAACCTACCCGTCGCTAGAGGGAGAAGCGCTCGGGTTTAGAGACGCGAAACTTGAACTGTATTGCGGTTTACCTGCCCGAATGTGGAATACAGAAAGACGGGTATCTCTGCCACGGTCATGGCCAAAGCCTGGGCGATGGACATCCCGTCTGCTTGTTTGAGTGACATCTCGGAAACGTGAGCGCCTCCACCTTCACGCTTCACAAAGCGTCGTCTCCGCTCCGAGATCAGCCAGCTCAGGGCTTTCTGATGGACAGTCAATCGTCATCCACTCCTGAGCTCGAACAGACGCAATGTCTGATTGGAGATTTATTCCCCTATAATTAAAAGAAAAAGACAGTTTTGCGACATTATATTGCACCGGCCTTGTGAAGGAAAAGACGTGACAGCACACAGTTATTGTATCGCTGCAAACAGTGCTTTTGGTCCCAGGTCAAAATGTCCCCAGACATAAATCTACCAGCAAAGCTCCGGTTTAAGCTGTAAAGATCCAGCTCACGTGAACTGTTAAGCAGCAGAACAACATTACACATTGTGCCGGCGACTTACCTACACACTGGTATGCAGCCACATCACCAGCCTGCCACACACACACGCACACGCACACACAAACAAACAAACACACACGCGCTGTACGTGACAAACCGCAGGTGCGAATTCAATGGGACTTTCTTCTTACTGGATGCAATTAAACACCGACTGATATAACGCACGGTGTGTGTGTAAACGACATTTTTACAATCACACGGGCCACATTGTTGATAATGGAGAGACTGCAAGCCGAAAGAGACAATTGACTGTAGGTGAATAGCAAGCTAGTCACCTGAGACGGTTTTATTTTACGGCAAAAGCACAACACGTCTGAGCTGTGCTGTTTGTAAAAGGTTGTTAATGACCGGACACAAGCAGCATGCTAACGTTAGCTATCACGCTTAGCAAGCCTAGCTCAGCCTCATCTGTCACTTGACAGCGCAGCATCATCTGTTTATCCAGTCGCTGGTTGCGGGGCTTTGAGCTCACACCTCCAAGGCTTTGTGTAGCGCAAACAAGCGGTACAACTAATGCCATAATCCGTCACGCAGGTCACATACCGTGGTCATCCAGGGCGCCGAGGAAGGGCATTCCCGTGTCACAGTCAGTGAAAGCCGCACACTAGCTTTTTGCTAGGAGGCGGTGCTTCAGAAAAGTAGGAGCGGTGACGCTGCGGAACAGCCAATGGGATGAAAGGAAAAGAGGTTCGTTTTTCTTCTTGGCCAATCGGATGGCCGTTCGGTTGGGAAACAATCCAGGTCGGAGATCAAAGTCTCCCGTTAGAAAGGTTCAATTGGTACATAAAATTACATTCTGGGCAGGTTTTAGCTAACATTAGTACTTTTCTCATGGTATATAGACTTAACTTTGGTATAGTAATGTTGAATGAGTAATGAGTAAGTTAAATAAAAACTTTCGAGCTCTGGGTTTGCAAAGTTTTACGAGTGGTACCTGAAGGCCGCATTGCCAATTCTCGCTGGTGAAAGTGATTCTGAACTACAGGGATTCATACATTGTTTCCGGTTTTGGTCAATTCCTTTCAGATTAAGTGTGAAAATCAAATATAGGTCCAAGTGTGTTGGCAAAAATATCGTCCACGGTCGTTCCCGGATAATATTCTACGCTAATATTCCTGCATGAATGTATTTATTTATTTTCTGACCAAGTATTTGTGTGTGTGTGTTCGAATCGATCGGATGATACGTTTGTTTTGAAAGAGCTGGACCGGAAGCCGCGCTGTACCGTCCACTTGACGGACCGTTAGAAATACGACTGCGACAACAGTAAAAAAAAAACGGAACGGATTTCAGATAAGAGTTTACTATGTCGCCGATCGATTTTGAAAAGCGAAACTGCCCGCGAGGCGATGCCACTTAAAACCCGGATTTAAGAGCGCTCAATGGAATTGACCGAGAGCAGCTATTAATATCGGTAGATATGAATGCCCGTGAACGGGACCCCTTCGTGCCTCGGCTTGTCTCAGTCTCGCCGATTCCGTCTCATGTTAAACGGCTGAAAAAATGAGCGTCGCCCGGCTTCCTGGATCGATGCTTTCTCACGGGTCTTGATATGAAATATCAGGTACGAGTCTGTTTTTACACGATCATTCCTAATAACGGATGGGTGCACAGTACGCTATCAATTAAACACACTTTTATTTTTTTTAAATCAATACAGATGTTCCACTGGCTCTGCCTGCTGAGCCTGAGCTTGAGCCTCCCTCTGTTGTTCTGGTTTGGACACGTGATGACGCGCGCGGGTCTGTCGCTCGGTCTGCGCAGGGGGGGGCTCGGGGGTTACCTGAGGATCAGCCCGGCCGGGGTGGACCAGGTGAGTGTGAGTGAGTGACAGAGAGAGAGAGAGAGAGAGAGAGAGAGATCATCGATATTAATCTTCACTTTATTAATTGATAATAACACTTAATACGAAATAAATGTAAGATACCTGACATTCCTATTCAAAAAACTGTCTGGAACAAACGTCAGTAATATTGTAGTTGCGTTAGTTAACACATAAGAACTATAAGAACCTCCCTTTCAATTAATATGTTACAGTTCTAGTCTGCAGGATTTCCTGTTAAGTTCCTGTTATCTTTTGTTTCAAGATGACTTACCGTGTTGCAGAAAAGTCACATAGAATCACACGCCAATTACTTTTGCGTGACACCATCACTTCAAAAATAACCACAAATTCAACTGTGTTACTCTTAAGCACACGTCAAATGTTTATTGTGGGAGTTTTCAAGCTACAATAATCACAAAAAGCAAACAGCTCAAGCTTCACAGCACATACGTATGTTGAGTATTAAAATATAAACATGCACGCTTACGCTAGAATGAAATTACACTTGAACTATAAATGCATAGGAATAATGGGTGATGGCCGCTTAAAGGCCTGATTGCACGAACAACATGTATCTGAAGTCACAAGACCAGCACACGAACATGTTGCAAAAATATGCAGCACTATCTGTAACAGGAAGCACCTGATCCCCATTCTAAGAATAACATGTCCGTACATAGAACTACGCCTACCGCTCATACGCAAATAATCTTGCAAACATCCTGATATGTAGAACTCACAACGGGAGGCGAGATGATCCGAGAGCCTAGAGGGATGGACATCCCTGTGCTCCAATGGGGCTCTCCGAGGGTTCTAAGCAGGAGCCGCCTCCAGCTTAATAACCAATCAAAAATGCTCTTAGAGACCATATAATACGAGCGCACTTTGTATTAAGGGCCTTTTTTCATGTTGTTGTTAAACTGCCTGAAATAGGTCCGTGCACGTTAAACTGCAGGACAGAATACTCTTGTTGCAAATAAACTTTGTCATACTATTTTGATTGAAGTCTCCAGTCTAGTCCTTGTTTTGCTCGCACGACACGTAGAAATGTTATTCCCTGTTTGTTCCTCTTTCTCAACAGTTGCTCCACATGCACTGCAGCCAGTGTGCCTTGGTCTCCAGCTCAGGTCAGATGCTCGCAGCCGGCGTAGGAGAAGAGATTGACAAAGTCGGATGCGTGATCCGGATGAACAATGCGCCCACACAAGGGTACGAGAAAGACGTCGGGAGCCGCACCAGCGTCCGGGTTGTCTCTCACACAAGTGTTCCCTTGTTGGTAAAAAACGAGCGCTACTATTTCCAGCAGTCGGCAGACACCACATACGTGTTCTGGGGTCCTGAGAGGAACATGAGGCAGGACGGGAAAGGACACGTCTTCAATGCTCTCTGGAAAATAGCCGAGAAGTACCCAAAAGTCCAAATCTACGCGGTGACCACAGAGAAGATGCAGTACTGCGATGGTCTGTTTCAGAATGAAACAGGAAAAAACAGGTATGGGTTTAGCGTCCCAGTCGATAGATGAAAGGCCGGATTGAAGCAGTTGGTTTCCCATGTATTTTTAAAGCAACGTGAGAGCTAGTTATAAATATATATATATATATATTCAGAAAAGCCTGCTGTCTATCACTCAGAATGAAGACGGGGGCGTTTCTCAGCACTGGATTTTTCACAATGATCCTCGCTATAGACCTGTGTGACAGCATCCGTGTGTATGGAATGATCGACGACAACCACTGCAGGTGAGACGTTTCACATAATGACGCCTTTTCTTAACTCTGAATCCTTGTTTCCAAGTATCACATATAACTCTGCTTCCTCACTGAACAGCCGAGCCAACCACAGCGCCGTTCCTTACCATTACTACGAGAGGAACCGGGTCGACGAGTGCAGGATGTACAGGTTCCACGAGCACACGCAGCGGGGGGGCCATCGCTTCATCACGGAGAAGGCCATATACGCTAAGTGGGCTACACGCCACAAGATGGAGTTCAAACACCCCTCGTGGAGCCTCTGAAAAAGGAGAAGTTTTTGTTTTATCTGCAGTCTAAAGTACTTTCAGGGGGAAACGTGCACTTTCAGTAATATGAACACTTTCACTGTAATGTCTGAATGCTGGTGAGCCATAAGCCACTAAACTAGGAACTGATTTCAGTTTATACCAAAGCTTAGGACATTTTTATTTCATCGCCGTGCCTTGACTTTTGTTCTTATTTTGCACAATAGAACATGTAATCAAGAACAATGTATTGCTGTAATCAGGTCTGCAGCTGCAATATGCTCATTTATTATGATTACTTACTTAATGATTAATTACTGGCATTTTTTTTCTGTATTAATTAGTTTATCATTTTTTCTAGTTTTGCAGGAAAAGTAGTAAAAAATGTTTTTTAAATGACATACCAGTAACATGGAACTGAATTTGGTGTATATACTATTTATTACTTGTTTTGTCCAACCATTACCTAAAGTTATTACATTTACAAACAGGAAATAATCACATTTGAGAAGCTGAGTCCAGTATTATTATTTTTGGTGCATTTTTGCATAAAGCCCGACTTCAAAAATGAATCGATTACCAAAACTGTTCAACTGTTTTTGTTTCAGATTATTTTCCCTGATTGTAACCAGTTACAGTGTTGTAATGCTTGAAGTAGTAGTCCAGATGTTGCCGTTGGGAGTGCCAATGAACTCGAGGAGAGATCATGCAGTTTGTGGTTTTGGTGACATGTAAATGTACGTTTGTCGTGTACACCGAGCACAGAGAAGAACGTGTTAAAACGGGACTGCAGATGGTCGACAAACCATAATCCACTGACATGGCGCCCATAGCTTCACTGCCGATCAGTGGACAGCAAACACAGTGTTACAAACAACGAGCATGATGGGACGGATGTTTGTTGTCTTGCTTTAAACACTGAAACGTTGTATTTTTGCTGCTTGTTGTTACTGAAAAAACATAATGCTGCCTTACTAGTCGCACAATGCTTATTTTGTGACGAATTCCAAAGACTGTAATGGTAATCGTGCTACCGAGCAAGCTACTGTGTCAAAGTGTTTCACTGTCATTCACACTTCAGACTGGAATTGTCTTAATTAAAACATGTAATCAGTGACTGTTTGGTACGGATTTTTGTTGTGTGCAAAAGTGGCAACTTAAACGCAGAAGGGCGTCAACGTGAATAAATCTGCTCACTGTCTATATGCTGGCAGACGACAAACAAACGTTATGTTTGTGTGTCACTTTAAGACAACTTTTATTTTTGTCATATGACCTGGATGGATGGATTGATGGATGGACCTTGATCCAACAATGACCCACAGACAATTTGGTAAGAGTTTGTAAAATTTCCCGACAATTCGAGATGGCAAATGTTTGTGTTGCCGTCGTTTGGAGGTCTAATTAATTCAATTATACATTCATGTTAAATTGTAGATCTGCCTTAAAATCAAATGAAGGCGGCGCCATAGAGGCATTTGTTTCATACCCCAAATTTCACCCGTCCGGTTAAAAACAGCTAGATGAGCTTCTAATCATCACGAAGCCAAACGAAAATCAGTGTGAAATTAATTAAGTGATTTTAAATGCAGATCATTTATTTTCGTTATGCTTTTATAATATCTGGCTCCCGTTGGTCTTTCTGTTTTTTAACGCATATAACGCCCCCCCCCCCGTAACAGCCCCACACGCCCACATCGCCGAGCTGCAGTGGACGGCGTGATGACGTCAGCCGGTGGCGCAGGAAAATGGGGTACGGGACGCGGAGGAGGGTGACACCCGACATCGAGACCGCAGAAGGCCACGAAACGGTAAACGCCGGATTAACACGCGGCACGTGTCACGTTAGTTGTTAATCACATCGGTTGCTGTTGTTGTTGTTGTTGTCACCGGAGAAGAAGAGAGAAAAAAAATGGGTAGATGTGACGTCACGTCACAGCGTTCCAGGGATACCTGCGCACGGTGTTTATCTGCATACTGCTGTTGGTGAAAGTAATGACATTTCACAGTTAGCGTTCAGGAAATAGAAGCTTAAATATACCTGACGTTATTAAATCATTCAAACTGTAATTGGCAAATAGCTTTGGTGATGCTAATGCGCACACACACACACACACACACACACACACACACACACACACACACACATCACACATTTTCTCCCCCAACATTCGCGCTAAATAATTCCAATCCGCGGATGATTTTGTGTGTTCCGGACAGATATGATGAGAGACAGCAGGCGGCGCGTCGGTTCACATCCTGGTCAGACAGCATGGGGGTAAAGATCAGCAAGGTGAGAAAAGACCCTGGAACATCTGGACGGTGCGGTGATCTGCAGGATGTATTACTGCGGCTATTGTGCGTGTTACTGTTGTTTACACGTGGCGGAGGTGAGGCATTCAGGGCTTATTCAGGGAGTCCGAAGTACACACGTCAAACAGCTGCATGCAAAATAGTATTGTCACTATTCATCATCAGGGAAACGATCTGTGACTGTTATAAATGATAATATGATTAGAAATGCCTTTAGCAGTTGCACAGAGCTTAAAGGAACTGATGGATGAGGAAATGCTGAAAAAAAGCAGTGGTTTCATTTCTGCGTGGATCGAGTAGTTAAATATGCAATAATGAGTCGTATTTTATGAGCTCTTCGCGGGTTTTGCAAAGAAAGTTGACGTTATTTTAAGCAGCTTGAAGAATTCCCCCTGAGATACAGCAGAGCCTGTAAAATGGAGCTAACTTGTATTCACCGTGCCTGTTGTTTCGTCTTGCAGGAACAACAGAGCCACAGGCTGGTGATCTTGGCGGCCATCTTCGTCCTAATGACCCTCCTCATCCTGTACGGCTCCAACAATGGCAACGACAGCGCGTACGCCCCCTTCCACGTGGTCACAAACTACGCCATCAAGGCGACGGATCTGAAGAAGTGGTCCGGGAAAGACGGCTACGTGCCGTTCCATGGCAACAAGGTACCCGGGGGGGAAATCCACGCATGTACAATGACGATGTGTTTCCGTCGCTCAGGGACATGTTTGAATACGTTTACTGTCATCAAAAGCAGAAGGAAGTGGTTAACCTTTCGCAACGGATCGCCCTGGTCCTTCAAGGTCAAAACAGGACGCAGCTGCGTTTTATCGGAAAACATTATCAGGCAGTTATTTAGAAGGAAGAATCAGAGTTCAAACAAACACTGGGAACATTCAGCAAAGTGTGACTTCTGTGAGGAAAAGCGGCATGACTGAAGTCAGCGTGGTTCAACCTCTGGGGATCACGCGTGCCCGTGATCCACATGCCTATAAGTCCGCACCAGGTTATCATTATTTACACTTTGAATCTTTTTCCTTTTCAAGAGCATGAACCTACACTGTCAAAAGTGCGCGCTGGTGACGAGCTCCAGCCACGTGCTGGGCGCCGGGGCGGGAGAAGAGATCGACCGCGCCGACTGCGTGATCCGCATGAACGACGCGCCCACGCTGGGCTACGAGGCCGACGTCGGGAACCAGACCTCCCTGCGGGTCGTGGCCCACTCCAGCGTGTTCAGGGTGGTCCGCAGGCCCGGCGAGTTCCTGCAGAGGCCCGACAGCCACCCCGTGATCATCTTCTGGGGACCCCCCAACAAGATGGGGAAGGAGGCCAAAGGGACGCTGTACAGGTTGATCCAGAGAGTCAGCATGACCTACAGCAACTTGTCTTGTTTCAGCATCACAGCCAGCAAGATGCGCCGATTCGACAGTCTGTTCCACAAGGAGACCGGGCGAGATAGGTGAGTAGAGAGAGAGAGAGAGAGAGGGGGGGAGACATGTGTTTTCTTTGGGTAAAAGTCACTTTTTGTTTCCCAACTTGTTTTTTTTTTTTGTCTCTGCTCAAGGCAAAAATCCCACTCGTGGTTGAGCACGGGCTGGTTCACCATGGTCATCGCCATCGAGATATGCGACAACATCAAGGTGTACGGGATGGTTCCACCGTATCACTGTGGGTGAGTACGGGGACGGCGCTCGTCGCAATCCCAGAAGCACCTCAGGCGACCTGTTATCACTGGGCTGGCTGTTACATAACTCGTTGTTCATCCAGGAAATCCAAACCTGCATCCAAGAAGATGCCCTACCACTACTACAAGCCCAGGGGGCCCGACGAGTGCGTGACGTACCTGCAGAACGAGGGCAGCCGCAGAGGGAACCACCATCGCTTCATCACGGAGAAGCAAGTGTTTGCACGCTGGGCCAAGCAGTACAACATCACCTTCGCTCATCCCAAATGGTTCTAGAGCGACGCGGAAACCAGAGAGAGAGAGATCTGTAGGAGCCTTCGAAGAGCCACGTGATGAATAACGGCTGTTTTCAGGACCAGCCGAGAGGATGAAACGTCACTGGGCCGATGGACGGAGAGGAGCGCTGCTGTTCGGTTACTGTATTGTGAATATTCCACCCGGGCGTGTGGCGGTCACCAGTCAGGTGTTTTTCATAAATAGAGAGAAAATGTACTTTAATGAATTTTTACATTGTTTATAGTATTTTTGTGAATATAAATGAAAATGCGATTATGTAAACAACGTGACGGGGGAATTAGATCCGTAGCCGTTTCTCTGGTTACAACTAAGTGGCTTTATTAGCTAGAGGACAGACAACGGCTCTCCAACATGCCAAGCTCATACTGAGATAATATGAACATGCATTTAGATTTTTAAACAACTAAACGTCTTAAAAATGGCAGAAACAGGATTCAGATTCCTTGGTGCTACGGATACCCGCTGTTCACTCAACAGTGAACTACTAGTCTGCAGTAAGCAGTTATCCTTCTCAGTAAAAATATACACATTCAGATTGCTCCACATTTATTCTAGAGGCACTGAATGCCGCATTGTACAGATATCAAATCACTAAGTTGTTATAATCTTAATTTCTAAACAAAATGTTGATTTTTGTTTCATGAATATTACTCAACATTTTTAAGTGATGCGTAAATTATTTTATTTTTTTACCTCAGTGGCTTTCCAGCATGCAGGTTAAATAGTCCAGAGTGCATCTTGGTTGTGTCATGTATCAGTATGTTGCTCTTACGAATCCACAAATCAATTAAAAGTGAAATTGTTATTTTAAAACTTGACGCAGGTGGAAAATGTGTTGCCTTTTGCAGGTTATCGGTCTGTGATCATGTGGCCAGAATATTCGTCTTCAGGAGACGCCGGTGACGGATCAGGAGACTGCATCGATACCTGTTACCTACAAAAACAACTAGCGGTCAATAATAAATGTGTCTACCCTTATTGATTATAAATCAGGTAGACAAAGTTAAAAAAAAAAAATCAAAAAAAAAAAAAAACTGCTGCAAACAACAGGATCCAAAATGTCATGACCTCTAGAATACAACTTGAACAGAAATGTAATAATTTAATGAAAGGATTAATTAACGCAGAACAGCTGTATAAGACTTAATTTGTCTGGATAAGGAAGAATTAAAATCACCAATATAAAAGAGGCTGCTTGTCGATGTGGTGCCAACCGCAACGCCGCTAATAACCGTGCTTTGAAAAATACACCACCAGTCAGTGAAAGCCTGTGTACAGCACTTGTATTTAAATATGTACAATTTGTTCATCCAGTTACAAACACAGACGTACAGAGCGAAGAGCGTACAAGGACACAAAGAAATGTGACGGGTGTACAAATGACTTCACACAATGCAGGGCTTGGGATGTTTGTAATAACAGCTGTTTTAGCGGTACGCGATGCGACAAAGGTCTAATTATGGAAAATGAACAACGTCATGGTGAATGCAAGATGATTTGTCTCCTTTCTTTGATCACGCGTTGCTTGATGCACCATTTGAAACATCTAAAAACGCGCCATCGATCTTCCGTCGAAGCCCCGCCATGGAAACCAAGATGGCCTCCTGTTGGAAAATGGAGGGAAAAAAAAGACCCCTAAATTAACAAAATGTTGCAGAATATTGGGCATTGGCTTGTACAAAGAGCAAATATGACCTGTAATGTGCCCTCACCTCTGTGCGAATGGTCCTGCTGCCCTGCCCCGGGCACGTGTTGAGGTAAAGGTCAAATAAAACACTGGGGTCATTCACTTCCAGGTTTTGGTCCGTATCTACGCTGGCTTCCAATCCCTGAAGACCTCCAAAGACAACTAAAAGATGCCTAGAAAGAGGAAAATGTGAGTGAAAATGAATGAAATACCATCACTGGGAGTACAACAAGAGTGAAGTGATGCGAACATGTTTAGCAGCTTTAAGTTTATCATCCTCTCCATCTTAGACTGACGCGTCAGGATGCAAACATTTGCTAATTTACACTAAACGCAAAGTGAAGACGGCAATTCTTAGCGAGCATTACAACTCTAAAAGGGCCTTTTTCTGGATGGATTTAACTTCGAGAGCTTTTATGTCTCCGTAACAAACGCTTGTGAGATCTGGCAACTAATGTTGAAACACTCTGGCCAATTCATTTCGTAAGTGCAGAATATAGCGGTTAGCTGTTAAACATCTAATGTTAGCAGAAGAAAATCCAACTTCATTGTACTATTAAAACCCAAACTGCTTTCAACCATCCAGTCTTTGTTCAAACGACTTCAAAAAGCAGGTGGAGGTACAAGTGGGACGCTCGCTTGAGGTGCACCTGGTTACAAACCCAAATATAAACCTGATGTTTAGAGGTTTCCGTTTGGGCCCGCTAGACCAGCGGAGCGCCACCATTAGCCTGCATGGCGACTAAAAGACGCCCCGGAGACGCTCCGTCCCAGTCCCCCGGGCTCGGAACATACCTGAACGGGGACAGAGTCGCTTGGTCCACGTTGCTGCCTCTCTCCGACGTGCCAATCGTCAGATCGTATCCTTCTTTGTGTGGACTCTCTGTGAAGACGGCACCTGGGCGAACAAACCGACGGCAGTGAGGAGAAAGCTGTGGCCGGATTCTAGAACGACGCAAGATGTTGAGATGCGCAATGCAACATGTTTGAGAGCATCGGGAGGGCGGGAGACTTACTGAGACAGGATGCCAGGCGGACACTGTAACCCCAGTAAATGCCTCCTTCAGTCCTGGGCAGGTGAGGAGCCACCACGGCTCCTTTACACAATTTGCTCTCTGAGGAACAAGCGCAGACGGACACATTCGCTGAACTGATGTGCAGAATCTGGAGCGCAATGAGGACTTCTCTTAAAGAAGAGAGATGAAAGCATCTAAAAAAAAGAAGGGTAAATTACCTTGTTTTTGTGTCTTGTTGAGCTTCACTGTGACTCGAAGTCCAGACTGCAGCTGTTTATCAATTTGAACATCCTTTGGGAGCAGATGGATGAAGTCAAGACTGATAGGCAAACATTTTATTGAGTTGTTTGGCAAAAAAGGCTTGATGTAGGAGAACTTACAAACAATAGTGAGCTGAGTGGGTTCGCTATTTGGACGGTTTGACAAAAACAACACATTTGAAGGAATCACCGTGGTTATGCTAAATTGTAATGGGAAACTTTCCCCATTTTATGAAAAATTCATCTAGATAACATCTGATGGATGATTAAAGAGTTGAAGCACTCAGCTCTCGAACTCATAGTGAGGGAAACGGCCTCTCTCAAAGCATGCTCACCTTTCTCATTCCGCAGTTGACCAATGAGCCTTTTCCTGGTTTGAGCGGCCTGTCGAGGACGATTCCTTCCCGGTAGTCCGATTCATCGTCGATCCTCATGTGGTGAGGGCTGTCTAAAGGGTTGAGCAAACCTGCAAAAAACCAGACCAATCATATCCTTTAGATAGCGGTTTATACCTGGTATTAGTTAACTTCTGATTTTAACGTGGCTTTTAAAACCACAGTTTGGACGGACACAAGAGCGAAATACAACTCAGCACAACAGCAGAAAGCCCAACAAGATAAAATGTAAAATAGCAAAACACATATATCTTAATACAATATATATATAATAAAAAATGCAGCCACCTTGTAAATGAATGAGTGAAAAAATAAATGCGGATCATTACCTGCATACTGCAAGTCTTGATGTTTTGGGAAAAACCACTTGCGCAGATACCTGCAGGAGAAGAAACGCTGCGATCAGCCTCATGGGCAATGGGCTGACACCGGCGATCTGACAACAATACTTACTGAGGACATTCCAGGTACTGAAGTATTCTGGCGAGCTGAATGCACGCATGTCCTTTCTTCCCGACGCCTTTGAACTCTCCTTCAACACTCCTGTGGGACAGAGAAGAAATGTTCTCTAGCAGCGCGCCAGTGACTGAGGGTGTAAATCGTTATCTTCTAAAAATCGCCAACTTACTTGACATCTTCCCCGTATTCGTCAAACACGACGATCTCGTCGACGCAGAACACGACACAGGCCCGGGCGATCTGCCCGGCCAGGTACGTACGAAGCTCGGTGGACTGAGCGTTGTCCAGGACGGAACCCGGCAGGGCCACGCTCACCGTGTACGCCCGACCTGAGAGAGACGGGGAGACATCCTGCAGGTCACACTCACATCGCTGCACTCACAGGTGTCATGACAAGGCCTTAAAAAGATGGGCCACCTTTAGCGTGTTGGCTTTGATCGTGCTGCTCGGTCTCCGCGGACTCCTTCCGTTGCTGCTGCTTGTCCAACTGTTTGAGCAGCTTGGCCTCTTTCGTTTGCTTCTTGGTCTCCTTGACTGAAATCCAGGAAGAATCGAGGGCATTGGAGAGCCAGTTAGATGTGGGCAGAATGGAGGCATCTAGCTTCATGGTCTGTGACAGCTTATCAGAAGATCAACTAAAGCATAACGTGCACACACAGTAAGGCATGACTTTTCATCAGCTGAGACGTTCATCAGCTGATTAAATAGAAAATGACTCAGAAACTATTTTTACAATCTTAAACCTTGAAGTCGTTTTTAGAGGTTTCAGCTTCCCTGAACACTTTATAACCGCGCAGCTTGTTAAACCGTGTAAAAGCGCCTGCTGTAAACGAGCAAATTGATTTAACTTGTTATTTCTAGCCGGAGCTAACAGCTAGCTAGCTGGCTAATTATCGTTGTTTACTCACGCTCGGTTTTCCTTTTCTTCCAGTTCACCCGCTCTGCCGCCTGTTGAAATAAACAAACACATTATAAATAAAGTACGATAAATACTTAATGTAAAACAAAGGTGGTAAACTACCTGAGAGGGCGCGACTTGAGGTCTTTTCGCTGAAACGTCGGTAGACATTTTTACACGGACCAACACGTGAAGGGTATTTACTTCCGGGTCGCAATTGGCGTTTCAGAATAAGAGTCGGCTGGTATCCAGGTTGGTACTGGCCAATTGGCCTTTAAATGGTATTTGAACTGGAATAAATGATAATGCTTTATATACAGAATGGTCGGATGGTTAGAATCAACGTTACAACTGAGCTTGATTGTTGACCAGGGTGTTAAACACTAGTTGGATTTACGTAGAGTGATTACTGCTGAAAGGAATTTAAACGTTCTTTATGTTGTTTGATAAAATTAACTTTTTAAGTAAAGGGACATGGCTTCAATGAAAAAAACATGCACAAATAAACACATGTTTTGATTTATTTAGTTACCATGTAGCTATAGAAAACATCGGTACATTTCAAACAGAAAATGATTTAATCTCAGTCAAATACTCCGAACTCAAGAACATATTGTATTGTAATCAAAGTAGACATAGAGTCAAACTCTTCTACAATAACTCTTACTAAAGTTTCGCAGTTCTGAATTCTATTGGGTCTATGTTTATGGTTTTTACCGTTTGTATGGACCACCAAATATTGCGATATACACGTGACACGTCATGAATCGATGGACAAGATCAACTCTAAAAACAGTGAGAATTCATTAAAAACATGATTACATTTTTGTACTTGATATTATTGCACAGAAAGATTCACAGTTATTCCGCAAAGTGGTTTACTACTTGGACAGCATCGTCTTTACGTACTAAACTGAGCCATCAAGACTCAGAGAAACACTAAATATGGCTCATTTCCACTGAGGTGGAAACCTAAGACGGGTTCAAAAGCCAGGGGACACCTGGATGGACGGCCTTGCGTGGGGGCGATTTTACTCCGTCTGCCTCCACTTTCTTAAGATGTCCTCTGCTGCATTCAGGGTGGAGTCCTCCTGTGGGAGACAAAGACAGTGAGCGCGAGCCGAAGAAGGCTGAGACCTGAGTTGATTATGTTGAATTCACCTTGATGAAACAGAACCGAATGTATTTGTCAAAGTCCTTGCTGTGCTCCGGGCTGTAGAACGCAGAGACGGGGATTGTTGCTAAACCCTGAAGGGGAAATAAAATGATGCAGTGAGAAGAAAGACACGTCAATCATACACCGAAGCCTAAAGTATCCAGTTAGTTATTCATCTTCACCTTCTCCTTAGTTAGCCACTTCACAAATCTGAAGTCAGCGGGTTCGTCCGCAGTGCTCTGGTCATCCAAGTCCACCTCTGTGAAAAACAAACAAGACTTATGCCAATGAAACAATGGACTGGGAATACTTTTAAAAGTTGTTTGTCGGGGTCACTCACTGACAGACGAGATGTCCGTGATCATGAAGTAGCCTCCCTCTGGCATGACGGGCTTCAGACCCACGCTCTCCAGACACGAGGCCAGCTTCTCCCTCTTGTGGTGCAACATGGCGGGCAGCTGCTGGAAGTAGCTCTCTGGAGACCCGAACAGCTCGTATTCTCTCTCGAATCCACGAGCCACGGCCTCCTGCCGAAGGCGGGAGCAGAGGAACACACACACACACACACACACAATCGTGACAAATCTAAATCATTTGACAAGAGCGTTTTGTGAACATTTCAATGTGGTAGAAAAGTTGCTGGTCAGGTTAGTTTTCTTTGTGAAGGAACACTTATAGATGTATAGGCCTTTGGTATTGATGTGAGCTTTAAGTTGCTTCACTGTTCATAATGTGCAGCAGAGATAAACATTTCAAGAAGAGCCAAAAAAACAGAGGCCAGTCTAATTGAAACACACGTTCTACTTCTACAAAGGTTTTCTGCATTTACCTGCGCGGCTGTGGGACAGTGGTAAACACAGTTCTGATGGACCACTTTCAGGTATTGAATGATATTCCCAGAGCCGATGACCCAGCCAACCTGAGGGAGGAAAGAAAAGTCATCACAACAATTTGCGGGCAAGATGAAAACGCAACTCGGACACTACGTCGCTATGAACGCATATGCGCGCGTCACCTTCCAGCCGGTGGCGCTGAAGGTCTTTCCGGCGCTGCCGATGGTGATGGTTCGCTCCCACATCCCGGGAAGGCCGGCTGTCGATACATTAACGCCATGAACACAATGCGGCTTTCGCCCTTTGAGTGCGTTCTGCTGAACCCGGGCCGCGTCTCACCCATCTTCACGTGCTGGTTCCCGTCGTAAGTCAGCCACTCGTACACCTCGTCGCTGATGCACAGCACGTCGTGTTTGATGCACAGATCCGCGATCATTTGGAGCTCCTCGGCCTTGTAGACCTGTAAAGGACGTCAATGTGTGACAGGTGTTTTTGTACCGGGAGACCAGCACTCCGGTAAACGTCTCACTTTGCCCAGTGGGTTGTTGGGAGTGTTGATAACGATGGCTTTTGTGCGTGGAGTGAATTTAGAGGCCAGCTCCTCAGCAGAGAGAACCCAGTCTGCACTCGACAGGACGGCCCTTCCCTCAGCTTTCTGGAAGTCAGTAGGAGAAAATAATGAAATATACTTGAAGGGACACGTGCAGAAAAGGTGACATTTTTCAAAGATACCACCCACCGGCCTGAGCGGAATGTAAACTGGCGTTCCCCCGGCCATCTTCACCATCGGCTGATAGCAGTCAAAGAACGGTTCAACGATTATGACCTGAAAGACAAAGTCTTACTTTATCTATATGTGCATTCTGGGGAATGATTGGAATTACTAGTCTTAACTGTTGGCAGGGATGACAAGAAATAAGAGTTAAAACAGGTTCATACTTGCACAAGTTTTACTATTTGTTAACCAGTTCTAAGCACCACAAGGGGAGTTTTATTACAGAATAAAAACACAAACAGTATTTCCAACCCCCCTACATGTTTAAAGTGTTTGCTGTTCTCATGTACAACATTCAGACTCAAATTGGGTTGATTTTCATACCTCGTCCCCTTCATCAATCAGAGCTTGAAACGTGCAGAAGAGAGCCTGATAAGCCCCCACTGTGACCAGCACGTCCTCCAGAGGATCGGTCTCATGTCCCACTATCCTGCCGAAGAACTTAGCCAGAATGTTCACGAGAGGAGGATGACCCTGAGGGAAAATAGGACTCCGTGAACAGAAGGGGAATCTTTTCTGACGTTAACAGGAAGATAAAGGTTTGTGCATTTCCACTTACAAAAGCTCGGGTATACTGGTGCATTTGGTGTCCGCCGCTCACAGCTTTGCAAAAAGCGTCCTGGACAAATTTCGGGGGGGAGAAGTCAGGAAATCCCTGTCCAAGATTCACTGCTTTGTAGTCTGCCGCCAGTTGCGTGAATTCAACCCTGTTGGTTGACAACAGATCAGACGCCGCAGGGCTGTTCCCTGAATGACCAGTTCAAATAAATAAATAAATAAAAACAACAACATTACGGCCTTTTCGGGTACGGGCAGCCCAGCAACAAATTAATCAAATAAGCATATTGAGCAATTATATACACAAATGTAAGTGAGACATAAACTACATAAAATCTACAAATATAAATGATTTAGAATTAATTATTTGTGTAGAAATTAAGGTTTGAATCAGAATCGCCCGGGTGAGTGGAGAAAAGGAGAAATAGTACCAGTTTTAATGTATGACCGTTATGAGCTACACGGTTTATACGAGCTCAGCAGATATTTGCAGCATCAAAAGTAAAAGCAAAACCAACTTCTTGTGTCAAATATTACTCACCAAACGTTTTTACAGACACTGACGGTTCTGCGCGCCTGAAGCTGTCGCGACATGATTGTCTGAAATAAAAGCACGTTGGGAAGAACGCTGCGGGTCGCTCTTTTTGTGTCAATTCACTGCAGATTTTTTAACTCAGTTTATTCGTTTATATTGCAAGAGGAATAACACAATTAGCGTTCAGACTCCGGACAATTCGCTCCGTGCATTGAATATTAGATACACTAGAAATGTTCCCACGCGCGTCGTTTCTCTTCGTGGCTATTTATTTCTAAGTAAAGTACCTTACAAGCGGGACAAAGTTCACTTTCTTGACGCTTCCCCGTCAAGCAGCTCCATACGTTGTTATTTCTACTTCCGGTATGGGCGGGGCGAGACATGAGCTCCTGGTTACCCGGATGCACCTCCAGTTCTACGATAGAATTAAGAGACCTTGACACGGAGCGAAAGCAGCGCCGAGATGTAGTTTTCTTTTTACTAAATGTTCAACAGATTGTAATATATATTATTCTGTTGAAAAATATTAACAAAAAGAGTGATTGCTGTTCAATTTCATATTAAACCGAACAGAATTTATTTTTTTTGATATTGAGAATATTCGAGTAGTCTTCTCATCCAACTGAAATCAAATAAGCATATTTACCATACCACATTTTATTGACCACTACACGCATATTACTCCTCTGAAGGAATGAAGGTGCAATACATGCAGCCGCGCTTTAGTGTCCAGAAAACAAAAGGTTCTGCCGTAAAAAGAGACTATTTACTCCAAACATTAAAACGTTGTCGGCGGTTGAGCGGTTTGGTAAAACGCAGTCCTCTTTCACGCCAAAGCTTTTTTCAAGTCCTCGGGCAGCACCCTGCCTTTCTTCCTCGCCCGGTTCTTCTTCTTCTCCGTCTTGGCGTGCTTCTGCTTCAGGATGTTCTTGCGCCTCTTGTCCTGGCGATGCTGCATCTTGTCCACGACGCTCTCGCTGCGCGTGTTCCACTGCGTCTTCCTCTGCTCGCGGCACTTCTCCTTCTTCCTCAGCGAGGAGCGCAGCATGACCTCGTCGTCCTTGATCTTGAGGCCCTCGGCCTTGTAGAGCACGTTGGTCCACTTCATCTTCTCCTCCAGCTCGTGGGCCTTCCCCTCGTCCTTCTCCCGCAGCTGCTCCAGCTTGGCTTTGCGGGCCTCGACGCGGCCGAGCAGCTGCTTGTAGTTCTTCCCCGTCAGCGGCGTCAACTGGCCCTTGACGCACTGCTTCTTCATCTTCTTCTTCTGCATTTTGTCTATGTAGACCTCTTCCACGGTGTCCACCTTGTTGAAGACGATGGCGGTTTCGTTCCTTTTGCTCGCGGCCGGGGCGGGCTTGGCTTCCTGCTTTACCTCCGCCTGCTGCTCTCGGGCACTTTCTTCAGCCAATTTCTTCAGCTGAATTTCTTTCTTCTTCTTCTTCCTGCGCTCGCGCTCCAGCTTCCGCTTTCCCCGCTTTGCCTGGACCTCCTCTGATAAGGCGTCCTTTGGAGCCCCCTAAAAAAAAAAAGAAAGAAAAAGAAGACAATTAACTTTGAGTTACAACATATTTTTACATTCACTGTTGCAGTTCTTCAAAATTAAAATACATGTGATGAAAATTAAACATGCTTGCATGTTCATTCCTGTAATGGTATTATCGTTCCCAAACGGGAGGACTTGTGCTTTGTCTGAGTTGTATTGGTGAATCCCTGATAATAATGGTCCAAAATGATGCGGAAACATTGCAAAAAAATTTAAATAAATGTTCCTGGCCATTCAACTTAAAGCAAAACATACATGTGTAAGGAAATACCGACTGCTTTGCTGGTTTAAAATAATAAATAATGGTAAATACAATGCCACTAAGAAGAATCAGAATTAAACTCTGCACCATCTTTAAAACGCTGCTTACCTGTCCTCTGGACTCTTCGATCTTCTCGTGAAGTCTCCTGCGTAGTATATCTAGCGTGGAGAAGGTGGACTCTGCAAAAAGAAAATAACTATCAACCATTATTCTGATAACCAGCGGGGACGCACCGAGCAGCGCACACACTTCCTCTACCTTTGGGTGCCGGAGCTGTGGATCCATTTGTGCTCGGCGCTCTGGACCCATTCACTTTTGCTGTGGCCGGACGGTTCTGTGCCGCGGCGGAGGGGGGCGGCCGGGGTCGGGACTTCACATCAGAGCCCTTTTCTTTGGAGTGTTTCTTCTTGCACTTTTTCTTCTTCGAAGGGGGACCGATATCAGATTTACCCTTGAAGTGAGCTGCACACAGATAAAGACATGGATTCATTAATCAGACATACTACTAACATTTGAATGCCCATTTTTGACTTCATTGACATTTTCACAAACTGAAAACAACCGCTGCACAAAGGCTGCATATATAGTGAGAAAAAATGCTATTTCAATAACAATGTTGTTGTTTAATCAATTAAAAAATGTCAAAGGGGTGATATTATTTTCTTCCCCTCGTCTGATTATAAAGAGTACTTTATATCCACCCCCACTTTCATTTAATTAAGGGATTTTTAGCCTTTGCCTTTCCTCCTTAATTTAATATGAGATATTCCCTGCATCACATGTACATGTCTATAAAAATAACGAGCAGTGGATTTATACAGTAAAGTCATATAAAGAGCCTGTGTATTATTACATATTTATACCACATGCACACCGGGGAGTACATGAGCTAAATCGGTGAGCTAACGTTACCAAACGGTCTCTTCTTCGGCTCCCGTTCCGGTTGAGATAAAACTTTACTCGCGAACTTCTGAAAGTAGGAATCTCTGGAGGCGAGATCCATGTCGACCAAAGAGCAGCGGAACCAGGCGGACAACGCACGAGTTTACCGACCGAAACGCATCAAAACATTTCCACCAACCCACGTGGGTCACATCCCGGGGCGCAGCGGCAGCGCACCGGAAGGAGTAACACCAAAAGAGGTCCCCCCCCCTCCTCCCGCAACGTTATGTATGTGTTATGCAGCCGGGCTTCGTCCACTTCCTTGGTGCTTTGACTGAGAATGGCTTCTCTAAAATCGGTGGTGGTTTATTCCACCAGGCTGTTAAAGACCCTGCAACAAAAGGTACGTGTTTCATATCTGCCGTGTTTTTGTTTAGTTTCCTACAACAGTAACTCCGCTGAATGTCACTTTTCAGAAGTGGCAGTGAAGCAGATCTGAGCTCGTTGTTTTTATTTTCTTCTGTCCGTCCTTGCAGTCGCATGTCGTCCACATCAAGAGGACTCTCGTCCTGCCCGGACTGCCGCTCTTCAGACGTCCGCAAGGTAAACAAACACGAAGATGAAGACACTCATTTGTACTTTTAGATGGGTTTTTTTCACCACTCAAGATGCATCATAAACGATTGAACCCAATAGTAATTGACGATACCAAAACATTACTTGGAAATGTTCATGTTTATGTTCTTTTTTTTTTTTTTGACAAATATGTCATCTGATAAGATTCAAGTCAAGGTCAAATTGACTTTAGGTTTGAAAAATGACAGAAAAGTCCTAACGTTTTATGACTGGCTGAATAACATTTCTGAATAATCTCCCATCGTCCATCCCGCTGTCTTCACTTCCTGTCTCGCGCGTCGTGTCCTTCCAGGTAAGTTCCTTCCCTTTGGGCGACTGTCGAGCTCCACAGCAGCCAGCGGGGCCAAAGGAGAAGAGTCTCTCTTCAAATGGTTGCTGCTGCTCATCCCCGTCACCACCTTTGGCCTCGGTACTTGGCAGGTTAGACCACGTTTCATTTGTGATTTCATTATTTATTTATTTATTTTAAAAGAAGTAACATGATGCTTTGTTACCGTTGGCTGGATTCGTGACGCCTTTTTGTCTCTGCGAAGGTGAAGCGGCGTCAGTGGAAAATGCAGCTGATCAACGATCTGAGGAGGCTCGTCACTGCGGAACCCATTCCGCTTCCTCTCGAGTGAGCCGCGTTTAATATTCTTCCCACGCAAAGACAGGTTGTTCGCAGGAGACCACCAGAAGCAGCTAGTCTACGGTTCTAGAAGTGCATAAATCAACAAATACCCTTTTTAAATGGTGGATAATCAAGGATAACAAAAACATCGGTGTTGTGATTAATGTTGCCGTTTCCCTCGCTGGATCTCAGTCCCAACGAGCTGAAGGACCTGGAGTACCGCAGGGTGAAGGTGCGCGGGGAGTTCGACCACGCGCGGGAGCTGTACGTCCTGCCGCGCTCGCCGGTCGACCCGGAGAAGGAGGCCAGAGAGGCGGGCACGCTGTCCTCGAGCGGAGAGACCGGCGCCAACGTCATCACTCCGTTCCGCTGCACCGACCTCGGGTAGGTTTGAATTAAATCGGATGAGATGTGTGGTCAGAAATCTGGAAAACGGGACATTTCGCTCACAGTCCCGTCTGTTGCACACGCTGACGGGTCGCCAACCTTCGCCTGCAGCATCACGATACTGGTGAACCGAGGATACGTCCCGAAGCAGAAGGTCAGACCGGAGACCCGGATGAAGGGGCAGGTCAGTATTTCAGACATCAGCACATCTCTGGCCACATTACCCACAATGCAGTGTGGGGGACGGCAGCTGCCGTGTGCTGATAGTAGTCTTCAGCTTCAACCTGAAATCACTCTTTTGTGGCAGTTTTCATCAGATTTTGTTGAGCCTTTTAAAGTACAGGTAGCATATTTTAATATAAGTCCTCTTTCCCGTTGATGCATCTAGCTTTTGGTGGCCACTGATCCACGGTCCTCAGTTTAAGGGATTTTTCATTTTGTCTGTTATGAACCACACAAGAATATTAGATTCCACATTGAAGGAAACAAACTGGCCCCAAAGCTTCTCCGCCGCACTTACATTTTTATTTCCCTGCAGCCCCATTTCACTTATAGAAACAAAATGTAATGTAACGCTTCCGTTCAGGTGGAAGGCGAGGTGGAGGTGGTGGGGGTTGTTCGGCTGACTGAGAACCGGAAACCCTTCGTGCCGAACAACGACGTGGAGAGGAACCGCTGGCACTACCGGGACCTGGAGGCCATGGGCGCCGCCGCCGGAGCCGAGCCCATCTTCATCGATGCAGATTTTGGTGAGTCCTCCAGTCTTGCACATTATTCTAAAATGTGTTAACAAAGATGTTGATTAGCCTCCATGTGTCCTGCAGGGAGCACGACTCCAGGGGGGCCAATAGGTGGACAAACCAGAGTGACGCTGAGGAACGAACACATGCAGTACATGGTCACATGGTACGAGAGCACGTGTTTGGAAATAAGTCACGTTTTGTTAAGTTTACTGACTCAATTTGTCTTCCTTTCTCCAAAGGTACGGCTTGTGTGCAGCAACCTCCTACATGTGGTACGCAAAGTTCATCAAGAAGATGGTTTAATTATTAAAAGTGACTGTTACACATTGAAAGCTACGGGTTATTTAATGTATTTTAGTCAACCATTTAATGATCTTTCAGCATAGAAGTGCCTAAAACCGTATTTAGGTTCTTATGGAAATAAATGTTGCATAAACTTGAGTGACTGGATGCCTTCAAAAGCTTACCACTGTTCAATACAAGTACATTTTTATAGACCAGCACATTCTTTAAAAGTATTTTCTACATGTGACCCTACCAGTGTTTCGGAGCCTTTGCTGTGGTCCCCATCACCCACAACCAAGGAAAGCGTTTAGTTTTAGGACATTTATAATCTTACATTCAGGAATAACTGAAATCTGTATTAAACAATGAAGACGCGCCTACTGAAGATTAATCTAATACATTGGCTTGCAAAAAGCATTTTTATTGAAAGGAAAAAAAAAACCCAACACAAGACTATTTTAGGACATACATTTTTTATTCCAAACGTTTTAACCAAGCTTGGTTGCCAGTTCCTTGGCCTTTGCCTTCTCCAGCTTACTGATGCGGGCTGTGGATTTCGGGCCCATGATACCACCTCCCCAGTGACGACGGATCTGAAACAAATTTGAAAAAGGTTAAAATTGTGCATTTTTTTTATAACATTTAAGTTTGAGGACATTTGTGGTGAACCTCAATAGGACTGCAGAGAAGTGAGAAAGGAAAAGAAGTCTATCCAGAAAAAAACCCTCATATTTTGGCCAATGCTCAGGGTTAAAAAGCTCAAACGCATCAGGGTTTCAGTTAAAGAAATTAGTGTCATCATTGCATTAAGGCCAAGTATCCTGACAGGTTACACTTCTAACATTGGGCGGTGAGCCCAGCCAGACTAAGTGCTGTCAGTCATTAAATGACAGAAAAGGAAATGCTAAACTCTATTGAGTTAAACACCCAGATGCACAGTTGTAGTAGGCTCACCTCTTCGTATCTGTCATTGTAGTTCGTCTTGATGGCTTCCACAAGCTTTGCAAGTGCACCTTTATCCTCACTAGAAAAGAACAAAGCCATTTTTAGATAGAAGATACCAATTCTGCAGGAGTCAGTCGGCTTTTGTACGACTCAAGAATTTCCAAATCTTTTATTCTGTTACTTTCAAGCAGCACATCTCATGGGCCTACTTACGGGTTTGTTTGTGTGATGGCCACTGAAGTGCAGGTCTTTCTGTGCACCAGTCTTCCCAGTCTAGCCTTTCCCTTGATGATGCAGTACGGGACGCCCATCTTGCGGCACAAAGCCGGCAGGAAGACAACAAGCTACAGAAAAAAGGGAACCAAAGGAGAAAGTTTAATTAACATTCGCTTAAAGTAATGCAAGAACATGATCAAAAACTGCTCCACCATAAATGAGCGGGTAGAAAAATGTGGAGGTCTCTGCTCAGGATTTAAAAAGGTTGATCCACACAGATGATTCAGGTGAAGAAATTCAAACATCATTGCTAGAGACCACATCTATTCTTTAAAGTTCAGTGAATGACAATCGTACCTCAATTGGATCCACATCATGGGCAATGATGACCAGCTGGGCTTTCTTGCTCTCCACCAGAGAAGTGACCGTGTTCACACCTGCAGAGAAAGGGGAAAGGAACATTACAGTCTACCCAGATATAACCCTCGGGAAAATATGTATGTTGCATCTAAACATTTATATTTTGGCCAATGCTCAGGGTTAAAAAGCTCAAAAGCATCAGGTTGTCAGTTGAAGAAATTCATGTCATCATTGCATTAAGGCCAACAGATAAGACTGGTCACGCTGTTCCCAAGAAAAAAAGATATCAGCCACCAACACTACTCTCCGTTGCTTTGTGTACCTCACCTGCACGGAGGACAGGAGGCCTCTTGGTAGGGGTGTCTCCCTTTCCAGCTGCCTTCTGCTCAGCGCGGGCCATCAGCCTCTGCTTCTTCTCCTGCTTTGTCTCTGGCCTGTACTTGTGGGCCAGCTTGAACAGCTGTGTGGCTGAAGAGAACATAATACAAATTAGTCACCCAACAGTTTACACGACTGTGTGCAACGTGGATAATGTACATTTCTGAGAGGCATCAGTGATCTTGGTGGTTGTCAGCACAGCTGCTCAGTTAGCAAATATTCTTTCACATCATTTGCGACGCTATTAAGCACTCAACAGCCTACAACACCATCGCTCTCCTAACTCACCGGTCTGGCGGTCCAGAGCCTGGGTGAACTGGTTGATCGCAGGGGGGACCTTCAGACGCTTGTAGAGGATGGAGCGCTGCCTCTGCAGGCGGATGTAACGAGGCCATTTCACAAAGCGTGTCAAATCACGCTTTGGCTGGATATCCTGGCCTGTAGGGGCGGGGGAGAAGTTTAATTCATCGGTATTTGAAGTCACACTCGAGGGTCTTCATTGTCCCATCATACGTGCATCAGCGATCTTGGTGATAATGGTTTGTCGGCAAGGAAGTTAAGATAGCAAATATTGTGGTCATCATCTGCACGGTTAAAAGTACTCAATTCTAACAAAAAGGGACACTCACCGATGCCAAAGTTCTTTGGCCTCTTCTCGAACAAGGGGTTGACTACTTTTTTGGCGTCATGTTTCTTGGCCACCGAAGGGGCAGGTGCCACCTTCTTCCCCTTAGCCTTCTTTCCCTTAGGCTGTAAAATACAGGAAACCCAGTTGAATGAACACCATGAATCAAAGAAAGCAATTTCAGAAATCCAACATGAATATCTCACGGCTCAAATTCAGCAGCATGCATCAGCTTAAGCATCCATTGCTTTGCATGAAAGTTGCCCTGCTCTACCATTTCTATCTTAGCCCAACTGGGAATATGGAACACAAAAACTATTTAAAAAGCCCAATATTTAAATCCTTTAACAAAGCAAACCTCAGACGCATTGCATGGCGCTTAGCATGACCATTCTGCATGTTGCAGTCTAAGCGGCTAGCATGCTACATAAATCCAACACCGAAGCCACTAGCTTGAATGCAAACATTAAAACAGACCGGTCATATATTTAACGTATCAATAACCTCTTTTAACAACTACCGAGCTAAGCTGACAACATCTGTACGTGGCGTAGCGATAAAATCTGAGCTGTGAGTGCCGACAGCACTTCATGTCAGCAGGAAGAGGCAACGGGCCCATGCAGCTAATCACCCGGACACACACACACACACTTGTGTCCCGTTACATGGAAAATCACGCTCAACATCACTAACCTTAATTAACTTAACTCAAAAACGACCGGCCGAACACACGTATACTTGAAAATGCAGACTACGGGACAGTTTCCCCCCAAATAAGCGTGTGTTCCGTGATTCGCTTGAGCTTCTGAGGCGGAGACACGGTGCAAATGCTAACGGCTACAGAACGGTGAACTTCTAAGTTCTACCCCGAAAAATAAAAACATCCACGCGAAATATCGACACGACTTACACTTACAAGGTTCACTCACGCCATTAGTCTATTTTACAGAGTAAGAAAGCGCATACATTAAGGGATGCAGGCAGATACAAAAGATTGAATCGGTCCGGAGAACGCTCAGCTATGTACCCACCATGTCGGTTCAGGCTGAAAGGAGGACCGAGGGATTCTGGGTAACTTAAATACCGCGAGGGTTGCGCCGTGACGACGTGGCTTCTAAAGCGCAGACCTGGAGTCAGATGTTGAAGCCGCAGCGTCGCGGTTTTAAGATTCTGAATCTGACTTAGAGTCAGTGTTGAAGTATGATGTGTCCGAACGTGTATAAGTACTGTATCATTGTGCAGTACTTGTAGTTTTGTAGAGAATTTGAATCTCATGTTGTTTAAACTTTTTCGCTTCAGAGGGAAAGTATGTACAATTATGTAAGCTCAAATTATTTGACTAAATTAAATTGCTCATAAAATACTATCAACTTATAAAGTATAGATGTTTTTGACTAGCAGTATGTTAAAGCAATATGTTAAATAGTTAAAACTAGCCCCACGTTTATCAGCTGCAACATTAACGTGAACCAATGAAATTATTCATAACTCAACACACTGAAATGGGCCATTGTGTATAATAGCTACTTTTCATTCGTTATATTATAGTTGTGTATTTTAATGCAAATATTCCCTAAGTATTATTTCATGGAACCTTTTATGTAAATACATATATTTTTAATAATGACAATTGCGTCTACAAATACAAATGAAATATATTATCTTTAATATTCTAATATTTGATATTTCACTTGGCATTTCCATTGCTTATCACACATCTCAACTTTCTCTCAGCCTTCATCGTAGAACTTTACCATTCAACAGAAGATCATATTTGATGTTGTTTGTTGTCGCTGCTCACTTCCGGGATCCGCCATTGCTGTAATAAAAAAACCCGCACAATATTACGTCACTTCCGTAAACATGGATCTTTAACTTTCAGCTATTTGAATGATTTCTACTCGTTATATTACTCGCAGGAACACGGCAAAGAGACATGAGATTTAAAAGAAATATGTTTACATTTTATTTTTAATCCCGGAGACCTGACGCCTGGATTTGTCCGCCTGACGTCTCCACGTTTCCCCCTCCTCCTTCCTCCTTCTTCGTCCAGCCCTCCGACGTGCCGTGCCGGGCCGTGCTGTGAATGGGAGGGTGGGGTAGGAGGGGAGTTTTTTTTTAGGTGATGGTGGGCTTGGGTCTCGCGTCTCCCGGCTCTCCTGGACACCCCGTTAGCATCCTGTCGCCCCTACCGAGAAGAAGGAACAAACAGCGGTTGCCGTCGCGGACGCCGCTTGTGTCGCTGAATTATCGGCTTTCATAACTGCCGTCATCGCTGCAGGAGGCAGGAGGGGGGTTATTATTTTTCCCTTGAGCTTTTCGTGGGTAAACAGAAGGCCCGTGAGGTGTTGCACCCCCCATGGCTTCTGTGTGGGGACGAGGCGCCTCTGGGTTCTTTTTCTGGGGGGATGATCGCGGTTCCGTGTTGAGATGTTACAGGTAGCTTTAGCCACAGCGGCCTGTCATCCGTCCCACCGTACAGTTAAACTGTCATATTGCCACATTAGCAGACGTCCCTCCGCGTCCCCGATGAGAGCGGGCAGCCATGGCCGAACAAGACATTTGTCCCCACCAGGATTCCATAGGAGAGCTGACCAAGGAGGACCTCCTCCACAAATCCAAGGTTGGGTTTTCATTCATTTACTAGAAATGTCAAAGATGCGTGCCGTGGCCTACGTAAATGCACTCAAAGTCATAAGCGTCCATGCGCGTATCAGCTCTCTTTCCGACTCAACCTTGTGTGTGCATATTGTTCTGAGCCTTTCCATTCAATTCACGCTGCAGGGAACCTGCCAGTCCTGCGGAGCTGGGGGCCCAAACCTGTGGGCCTGTCTGCAGGTAGGGTCTTTAAAATGTTGTCTCCACCTGGGCAAATGCTGCTTTAGTTTGTGCATAAATGACGCCTACTGCATTTCAGTTAAGAATAATTATAATAAATAATGTGGGGCACAAGTATTATAGAAATGCAGTAGCAGACATTCAAAATGATAGAAAGGCGGATGCTTTCATGTCGTGTAAGAGAGGATTCACAAGCTAACCGACGCGCTGTCTCCGTTCTGCAGAGTGACTGCCCATATGTCGGCTGTGGGGAGTCCTCCTCCGACCACAGCACGCTGCATGCACAGGTAAAACCCCTCACCTGTCCCTCCACCGCCTCCTCGGTGGCGACGAGAAGAAAACGCCTCAAACTTGACGCGAGTGTTCCCACCCCCCCTTTTTTTTTTTTAGGCGGAGAAGCACAACCTGACGGTGAACCTGACGACGTTCCGGATTTGGTGTTACGTGTGTGAGCGGGAGGTGTTTTTGGAGCAGGGGCCCGCTCCGCCGCCCGCTGCCCCCCACCGCCGCTGTAAAGCCTCAGAGCAGGTACCACAAAGTGCAAGCGGTGCCGGAAGTGAACGCGACCTGTTACGGACTCCCCTCGTTATTTATAGCATCCGATAATCTCTCTTTCCCAGGAAGCAGCTCCTCAGCCAGTAGGTCACCACCTGAAAGCGGTGCCGATTGCCGTGGCGGAAGAAGAAGGCTCGGAGTCAGAGGATGATGAGCTTAAACCGAGAGGTACGGCACGTTTACCGTCAACATTTCCTCCCCTAAACAGCAGAAAACATTGATTTAAAAAAAAAAATTAAAACAGACAAAAACGCTGTTAGATGATGGGTGACATATTTAATATATATAACGGCCTCGAGGCAGAACACGATTTAATTGGCCGCTTTCGTTTTTAATCCAGACACCGGTGAGGATTAACTCTTGGTGGTGACCTGTCTGTTCTGTCCTAAAAATATAATCCTCTGCATTCTCTGGAGGCTCAGAATAACAGCGTGGCTTCGCTTTCTCTTATTCGAAGGTTTGACAGGAATGAAAAATATTGGAAACTCGTGCTACATGAATGCGGCCCTTCAAGCCCTGTCCAACTGGTGAGAGCCCTCCCTCCTCTCCACATCTGGATGCGTTCCCTCCTCTGCGTCTTGTCAATCCACTTTCCTTTGAGTCGAGCAGTCGCGTTGATGCCATTCGTTCCTCCCTTTGCTCCCCCCAGTCCTCCTCTGACTCAGTTCTTCCTGGACTGCAGCGGATTGGTCCGCACCGATAAGAAGCCCGCCCTCTGTAAGAGCTACCAGAAACTCATCTCAGAACTCTGGCATAAAAAACGGTAATAATCACGCACAAAGTGACGCGGCGTGACTTGAGACAAGTGGCGGAATGCAGCAATACGAGGTTTTTATGTACTAATGGCTCATTTGCAGTCTATTAAACTAACTCTCATGGCGGCTACCCTCCCAGGCCCAGCTATGTCGTGCCTACCAGTCTGTCTCATGGCATCAAACTAGTAAACCCCATGTTTCGTGGTTACGCTCAGCAGGTAGGGGCAAGCAGCCAGCAGGTAACTACACCTGGCATCACTCAACAGCTTCACACGGTGTTGTTCTTTGTTTGCTGTATTCACACATTCCCTGAAAATGAATGATAATGTCTTTGCTATTAACGATTAGATTTGTTATTGATTACCAAATCACCCGACTTGTACTTTAGTTTTTTGGGGGGGATTTTTTTCTCACATCCTCAAGACCGCACAGAGTCATGGATGCTTGAATAACTTAATGTCGAAAACACTGAAGTTAACTGTAGGAGAGTGTAGTGTAATCCATTTCTTTATAATAATGGAATTAGATAATTCCATATTGCATAAGCGGTTAGCTTTTATACTTGAACATTTGTACAAATGGAACATACAAGATGTAAGATGTTACATATTAACCTTTAGATGTGGTAGAAAGTGGGTGCTGCTGACTTTACGATCCAATAGACATCTAGTACTAAAATAGAAAACCGCAACATACCGTCAAACTGCATGCAGAAACGTTAAAAAAAGCTTATGTGGCCTTTGTCTGAGTCCTTGTAAAATGCTGAATCATTTATCTACTCTGGTTTAAAATGTTTTTCTGTTTGATTCAAGCTTAATGCATGTGATTGTGTGAAGGGTCTGATTGTGTTGGATGGGGATTGTCACTGAAAAGTATCTGAAAACCTGTGAAATAATGCAGTAAGTGTATTATACGGTTCTCCTTCTACTTCTCCCCCCCAAAATCGAATCAACACACACACACCATTACTCACACGCTTCTCTTTTGCATCGTCCTGTGTGTGCGTGTGTGTGTGTGTGCGTGTGTGTGTGTGTGTGTGGCCGCCCTTGTGCATCCTCGCGTTCAGTGCGTGCAATGTGCCTCCCTCGCCACAGGACACCCAGGAGTTCCTGCGCTGCCTGATGGACCAGTTGCACGAGGAGCTGAAGGAGCCTCTGACAGAATGCAGCATGAGCAGGGAGGGGAGTGACGGCGAGGAGACGAGGGACGGAGACCGCTCGCCCTCCGAGGACGACTTCCTGTCCTGCGACTCCGGCTCCAGCAGTGACCGCGGGGAGGGCGGGGCGGCCGGGGACGGCGAGCCGCTCCTGCAGGACACGTGCGACGGGGCCCGGGCGCCGGCAGGAGGGACGGCGGGCGTCGGCGTCGCCGGCTTGATCTCCGAGAAGGAGAGGCTGAAGGAAAGGAGGGTGTCTGGCTCGCCCCTCCACGGCGGCTCGCAGGAGATGGACGAGGACGCCGACGTGGACACGGCAGCACAGGAGTCGCTTCCTGAGAGAGCGGAGGAAGAGGAGTTAACGCCGACCGCCAGCGCAGAGGTCCAGAGCCAAGAGAACAACCAGTTATCCGATAGCGGGGAGGGGCAAGACCACGACAGCAACACCTCAGGTAGGCCGGCCGGATTAAGGAAGTGGATTCTTCGGTTCAAACTGCGTGACCCGGACATGCTTTTCTCCTCCCAGAACCGGACAATGAAGTGTCAATGAACCAGGTCCCGTCCACTCCCTGCAGCCCTGTGCGAACCCTCCAGGAGCTGCACCCCAAACTGTCCTCCAGCCCCCCTCGCTCCAGCCCGCTGCGCTCTGCAGGACCAGCGTACTCCTTCAAGAAAGGTGCGACAGGCTTGAATGTGCGCATTTGCACCAGAAGGTCACGTGAGAGAAGTTAAGGTCACATTTGGAGCCACGAGAGACTTTCAGCCGCATGATTTAAGCCTTTTGGGTTTGATGTGAATTTGTTGAATCCGGCGCGGGTTGCAGGCTCCCCAGCGTCAAGTATTTCCCCCTGACACTTTTCTGTCCCCCATGAATCTTTCAGCTCAGCTGCAGCTCAGTGCCAGGAAGAAGAAACAGTCTCACTATCGCAGCGTGATCTCGGACATCTTCGATGGCTCCATCCTCAGCCTGGTCCAGTGTCTAACGTGCGACCGGGTGAGCTGTGCTTCCTTCAAACACCAGGGGGAGCTACATGCTACATGTTCAGTCACAAAGGGAGACATTTCTGTGTAATTTAGTTTCAAACTTTTATTAGCGGAGATTTTTTGGGCTGTTATTTTTTTGAAATTCACAAATGAATTTTTTCAAAAGATGTTAAATGATTTATATGAATCCAAAACCACTCGTGGTTGATGACACCCACACATTACACTGTCTAAACCTGTCGTTGAAAGCTCTGCTCTCACTGACGGCGGCTCGCTGTGTGAATGTGCGACAGGTCTCTACAACGGTGGAAACCTTCCAGGACTTGTCGCTCCCTATTCCTGGTAAAGAGGACTTGGCCAAGCTCCACTCGTCCATACATCAGAACCTTCCAGTCAAGACAGGCTTGAGTCCCGACACCTACGGCTCGCAGGGCTGGATCCCCTTCATCATGGACTCCATTCGCCGGTCAGTGCAGCGCGTTCAACCTTCGCGGGGGAAAGGGAGACGTCGGCGTGTTTGAATGCATGACAGTTATTGAGGGAGTTCCTTACGGAGAAATCAGGCGAGTGGAGTCTTGAGTTGTTGGTTTTTTCCATACTCACTGGATCGCTCACAGAAAACAAAATTCCACGTCTCTGAAAATCAAAATGAAACGCTGCGCGGCTTCCAGGGAAAGGGTTGGCTACATGGCGCAAATAACAAGCTTCCACCTCCTTCACCATTGAGGATGCAGGTGAGGGCCTGCAGGCACCACGGAGGCTTTGTAAGATCTGTGGAGGCGACGCTCGTGTCCTCGTTTGGTTTGCGGCCCTTCGTCAACTCCTAGCGTGTCGCTGGCCCGGAGAAGTAGAGCGATACCACAGCACTTTACCCTTTAAAGACAATCAGCCCCTTCCATTGTGTCAGGTGTTTGTCTCCAGTTACCAGACCTGCAACAGGAACCGGGGGAAGGCCTCTGGATAGACCTCTGCTCTTGCACAATTATGTTGCAAGCCTGCAAGCTGATACAAATGTGTGTGTGTGTGTGTGGTTAATGCCGCGGGGGAGTCCCTGGAGGAGATCTGGCAGTCAGACCAGGACTGATAAGTGGGAGGAAATGATGTAGACCAAGGAAGGCTCTGAAACGCCTGATCTAGTGCTGCAGGACATGATTGGAGTGCAGAGCCAACAGGAGTGATGTTATATGCAGCGCAGTAGGACGTGCGGCCCCTCCCCCCGAGGCTCTTGATTAGGGCCTGGACTGTGTCACCTGTATTCATCACCTTACATATCGTGGGCAGAGATGCAGAGATGTGCCTTGGCATGCCACTGGCCGTCTTATTCACCATCATGAGAGTGCTGGTGACGTCGTTCGGGGGAATTCAGCGCTTTCTGAGGCATCGGGATGAAATATCCCGGTGGTGAGCCGTGACGTCAAGTGCATGTTCCCACTTAACAATTCCCATCACGCTCGTCTTGCTGCTTCCATCCGAGACGACACGGTGCCCTTCCGGGTCACTGCCCGCGGACGACGCTTTTCGGGGGGTTCGCTTCATTGTTAGAAGTTTGCGACCCCCATGAAGGCCCTTTCCGTCAGCGGGATCTGTGCAGAGGGGGACGGACAGATAGAAGCTCCGGGGCTGTAACGGTTGCGTCTGTTTGCATTGTGCCTCCGCAACAGGTTCGTCGTCTCGTGTATCCCCAGTTGGTTCTGGGGGCCCATGGTGACGCTGGAGGACTGCCTCGCCGCTTTCTTCGCTGCGGACGAACTCAAAGGTGAACCACGCCACGTGCTGCTCCACTGACATTCGGAATTGTCCACTCAAGATGAGAAAATACATTTACAAGTGTACGATTCTTTCTACTCACAGGGGACAACATGTACAGCTGTGAGAGGTGTAAAAAGTGAGTATGTGTAGTGAGTCCGGATGGAGACACAAAGTAGACCTGGGCCAACTAAAACATAGTATTTTCTTTTCTACAGGTTGAGAAATGGTGTCAAATATTGCAAAGTACTTAGACTTCCGGAGGTACACGTTTTTTTATCGTCTACCTCTTGCTGCAGATAACACGTTAAATATCGCTTCATCTACAATCTTCTCAGCTTCATGAGTTTTTTTTTTATGGTTTGTGTAGATTCTTTGCATTCACTTGAAGCGCTTCCGGCACGAGATCATGTATTCGTTCAAGATTAGCAGTCACGTGTCCTTCCCGCTGGAGGGCCTCGACATGCAGCCCTTCCTGGCCAAAGAGAGTCCGTCCCAAGTCGCCACCTACGATCTGCTGTCAGTCATATGTCACCACGGCACTGCAGGAAGTATGACATCACTTTCACCTGCTATCCAACACATTTCAGGATCATCTGTAAACCTTAAAACGTTGAATGGAATCTGCTTCTTTCCTGATCCGCTGGCTTTTTATGCATTTTCTTCTCTCTTCTGGCGCTGCAGGCGGTCACTACGTAGCTTACTGCCAGAATGTGATCAATGGCCAGTGGTATGAGTTTGACGACCAGTACGTGACGGAGGTCCACGAGACGGTGGTGCAGAACGCGGAGGCCTACGTGTTGTTCTACAGGTGAGCACTCAAAGGCCCCGGGACTCCCTCAACGTTTCGCCCTGAATCCGTTTATCCAAAACGTTATCGACTGCATTCTTTCCGGGACTCGTGCAGGAAAAGTAGCGAGGAGTCGGTGAGAGAGAGGCAGAAGGTCGTGGCTCTGGCTAACATGAAGGAGCCCAGCCTGCTGCAGTTCTACATCTCCAGAGAATGGCTGAACAAGTTCAACACCTTTGCCGAACCAGGACCCATCAGCAACCACACGTTTCTTTGTCAGCACGGAGGTGCGTGGTCCGAGTAGCATCCGAACATCTCACCACGACTGAGATTGGAATGAAGAGATGCTCTTGATTTGCATATCGGAAAATGTTGGATCCAATGTCATTTAGCTGTTAAAGACAGATTTCTGAGTTAAAATGAATATGTATAGTTCATCGGTTTAGTTGACTCAAGTGGAAAAACATTTGTTGTTGGCATTCTTACTGGTCTCCAGAATGGACCTTAAAAGGTCATAGATGTTGTTCTGTAACTCGAGTACTTTTTTCCTCTCTGTACAGGGATCCCACCGTTTAAATACCACTACATAGACGACCTAGTTGTGATCGTTCCTCAGAACGTGTGGGAGTACCTGTACAACAGGTGAATGTGCCACGTGCTTCCACTTCACTAGTAGTTCCATATGATACAAATCAAATGTGAGCTAAGTCACCTCACCATTTACATCGTCTGCGAAGAAAAGGCTCCAAAAACTCCAAACATCCTTTGAAAGTCAAAGAGACAAACATTTACTTTGATTGAGACCAAAATAGTGCTAAAATGAGAGTGAATGTTGGTCTTACACTCATCAGGTGACCACAAACACAAAGCAACGGCTAATCTTTGATTTTTTGATTTTGAAGCATTTTATTTCATGAACATGTAGACATTAAAAAATTAAAAAAATTAAAAATCAACATAGACATAGACCACAAAATTAGAAAAGTCACCTTTTGTTCAAGAAAAGGAGTAGAGGGAAGCAAAAGCTTATAGATACCCACCCCTATCTTGCTCTTTTATCTTTATCTGAATGTGTAAAGAGGAAACCGTTTGCTTCAAGTTCGCCACGTGGCCCAAATGCGGCTTTAATGAGATGTTACATTCAAATCTGTGGGGTTGTATTTGATTTATTGAATATGATGGTTTGATCACAGCTGAAGATGTAGCTCTACAATAGCGTTAAAAATGAAAAGATGGATGTAAATAGGGAGAGGAAAGGAGAGGCCTGAACCTTTTGCTTTTGGATGAACACGTTCACATGATTTGTGTCCATCCGATTCTCTATCTTCTCTAAACGTTGCCGTTTCTGCCCTAAGTTTTGGAGGCGGCCCCGCAGTGAACCACCTGTACATGTGCACCATCTGCCAGGTGGAGATCGAAGCGCTGGCAAAACGCAGGAAAACCGAAATCGACACCTTCATCAAGGTAAAAGGCCCGTGTTCCACAAAGCTCCGCCTGCGCGTTCACGCGTCGGGTGCCGACTGAGCAGCTGCCTCTTGTCTGCAGCTCAACAAGGAGTTCCAGGCTGAAGAGGCTCCGGCGGTGATCCTGTGCATCAGCATGCAGTGGTTCAGAGAGTGGGAGGGTTTCGTGAAGGGCAAAGACAACGGTGAGACAAACACAGTAGCGCAAGTAGAGCACTTCGTCTCTCCGTCTCTACTGAATCGTTTATTTGATCTGTTATCTCAGAGCCACCCGGTCCCATCGACAACAGTAAAATCGGCGTGATGAAAGGAGGCCACATACAGCTCAAGCAAGGTCAACCTCGGTGTAAAAAGTGTAAATTAAAAAAAAAAAAAAACGAAAAGGAAATCGATTAAAGCATCTTTTTATGCGCGTTCCCCCACCTCAGGTGCAGACTACGGTCAGATCTCGGAGGAGACGTGGCAGTACCTGTTGGGGATTTACGGCGGCGGCCCCGAGATCGCCGTGCGACAGACCGTCGCGCCGGCCGACCCCGGCAGCCTTCACGGGGAAAGGAAGATCGAGGCGGAAACCAGAGCACTTTGAGAGAGAGAGAGAGAGAGAGAGAGAACACGAGAGGTTGGGCTGTGTAGTTATTAGGGAAACACTGTAAATCCCGTGACTCCCCCCCACGTGAGGGCGCAGACCGGCGTGCAGTCGTCGGTTCAGAAACACCTTCGGCCGATGGTGCGGCTCTTTCCCGGGAAGCCGCGGCGGCGGAGCTGGTCCGCCCACTCATCCTTCACGCCAACCCACATGAGCTCATAAGATTCTTCTGGGCAGCGGAGACGAGACCCAGGACGCCGGAGGCGGCGCCCCGGGGGAATAAACAGCTGTAAATACAATCCAGGCGGTCTGAGCTGAGGGGGCCCACGAGCGGACCGTTTGTTCTCGACGTGTGTCTCGCCTCCAGGTCTCCCGGTTCCTCCGTTCCTCTCCTCCGGCTGATGGTTTTGCACCGTGAGCACTTTGTAAATGTAGCAACGCGCTGTTGGTCACGAGCCGCGTCGCGAGAGGGCGGTACCTAAATATCACGTAGTTTATTTATTGAATAACTCTGATCCTTAATGTTAAGGTGTACAAAGAAATAAAGCGTTGTGTCACGTCTGTGGAGGTGTTTTTGGTAGCGATGGCGGTTCAGCGGCCTGAGGAGGAGGAGGAGGAGGACGACAGAGGTTTTTCTTCTTTATGCCTGTTTACGTGTCACGCGGCGACGCGCTCTGACGCGGAGCGAGAGGGGAGCGCATCGGTTGATCGACCTTTACTGCACAGCAACAACCGAGCCCTCGGGAATGCAAGCTTTTTGTTTGGTTAAACCGGTGAAATGATCCGATAAAGGAAATAAGAAAATACCACAGCTGGTTTGTGTAAACCCACACGAGAAAAGACCTTCTGCAGGGTCCATTTGAAAAGCTTCAGAGTGCATGAGACGGCTGTGTGGACATTTTCATTTGCTCAAAACGCACAATAATGTATTTTCTGGGCTCAAAATGGTGAACTATTTAGCAGCATCCAGGCCTCAATGCAGATACACGGCTTTTCATCATAGTGAATAAATATAAAGTTTCTGAAAAGACAAACTAATAAAGGTAATGAAAAGTGCAGAAGTTAAATGCTAACTTTGCTTTTTCAACTTGGGACCCCGTTCTCATAGTTTTTTGTGTTTTTATATTTTTGTGTTGCTCCATTCCGGATAAGACTCATGACTTGTCCTAATAGCTGGAATGGGACGGCCTTTGGGTTGAAAAAAAAAAAAGTTAGCCTCAATGTAAGAAGAGACGTACTGGTGCAATAAGGGATTATCGTCATTCCAGTTCTTCAGAGATGATTCAAGATGATTCATTATTGCAGTACCTGTTTCAGTACTTTCACCATGTAATCATTTAGGAAAGAATAAGTATTCAGCACAACATGCTCAAATCCAGACAGCGCATTGATATATTTTCTCATTAAGCATTAAATCTTTGTTATTTTTAATGTGTGATCATTAGAAAGATGAAGCTGTGCCCTGTGGTGGGACGTCACACAATGAGCCATTTGCTTGTAAAATATTACTCTTAAGGACAGGATGCTTTTTAACATTGTGTGTAAATATATTCATTGTTGCTAATTGAGAGCTTAATTCCTTAAATGGTGAATCATAACCCCTTTATTGCAGGTCGAAAGAATTTGATTCACCTCTTGTGCTTCTCTCTTCTATTTTTCTTCTTTTATGAATAATACATTTAAAATGTTTGAAAGCTAAAACAAGAAAAAAAATCTAACAATACATTTATTCAAATTTCCAAAGCTGAATTTATTTAAATAAGTTAGTATTTACATACAAAATTCTTTAGGTTTGTTGTAGCAGAATTGCTTAATTATTAATTAATAATTAAGCAATTATTAATTATTAATTTATAATTAAGCAATGACATCTGGAATATAAGCAAAGAAGCTTAAATGTAAAAAATATATCAATGTAGTAGTTTATGATCTGCCTGGAATACAGAAGATGCAGGTGAAAATTCTCTGTAGCTTTATCACCACGTACCCGTTCACATTGAGACATTGCTATAAAGAGAGAGATCAATAACAGCAGCTTACCGTTTAAAGTTAATCAAACGGGAATCGAACCGTCTCATAGTTTCCTGACCTCAGATGAAGAGATGGAGATCAAACCTAAATCTGCAATAGAGGCTCAGAGCATCCAAAGTGACCAAAACTATCCAATAATAACCAAAGGACATCCATCGTTCATCATATTAATGACTCTTAATCAATTTCTCCCTGTTTTATTTCTTAATGTTTCCAAAAAGCAATTTACCGATTGTTGTGTGTTAAGATAACAGTTTTATTGCATATTTTCTGAAGATTTTAGAAGATGATGTGAGGACGTGTGTATGTGTATGTGTGTAGATATAGATATATAGATACTTTTTATTGGGAGCAATATTTGGTGCAATGACAAACAAACAAAATAAGAATGTCTGTGATCTTTTGATGGAAGAGGCCCTGCACACCCTTCACACCGAGCAGACTGAGGCGGTGCAGCTTATTATATTCCAGCGAGACGCAATTACTTTATGATCCCCACCCAGGAGCTTGTGTTGCAGCACGCACTGTCGCTATGCGTGTGAGATTCCCACTCCACAAAGAAACAAACACCACATCACGAGCATTGCTGTGGCGAGGCAGAGTTTATCCTCACGGGCTGGAAACGTTTCAGCGTGTGTGGCTCGGCCATCACGGCGAGGACGCTTTGATAACATCGCACTCTGGCGCTCGGCCTCGGTTCAATGGGACGTCTCAATGTCTGTTAACGGATGTAATTACTCGGGCCGGTTGAATGATTCAAATTCCAACCTGGTCTTTGGTTTGAGGTGTGTTTCAGTTGCTGTGATATAAATAGGAAAACGCAGCTAGCAGGGGAAATGGAAGAAAAGGACGAATGTTCTGGATAAATGTGCAACTCAAAAGCACATTTTATGTTGCGTGTAATGAGGGAAAGGTGTTTTCTGTGGAGATGGTTGAGTGCGAGAGGCAGAGACTGAAAGTTTAACTGTTTCCATTTGAGAGAGAGAGAGAGGAAGGGAGGAGGAGGGGGGGGTAACTCTCAAGTGAGCGGCTGTGATGTCATCTCCAGTCCCACACGCATCCGGTCCAGACCGAGGCGGACCGAGACGACCGGACTGCCGACCCGCCGAGAGACGTCTCGCGGGATACTTACTCACACGCTGACTCTGCAGGTATGTTGATGAATAATTGAAACATCCATCCCACACCAGCAGCTTTACAGGCCTGAGGCAGGGAGGGAGGGAGGGAGGGTTGCCCCCCGCCCCCCCTCCCCAACTGTGTCCCTTCACTCGGATGGTTGTGGCCAGAAGCTGCCCATCCCATCCTCGTCAGCGATGGCATTTCGCACATCTCTCCGTGCACCAGCCCGCTCTGCATGGTGAAGGTCAGGTGATCGATTCAGGAGGGGGGTGGGGGGGGGGGGGGGTGGAGCTCTCCATCAATGAAGTGGAATGGTGACCAAATGGTGCGTTGGCATATCTGGGCGCGTGTGAAATGGAAAATGAGCGGCACGGATTCCCTTCAGGTCTGAAGGCGTTTAGAATATGTTGACGATGTTGATCGCATGGAAGCATCGGTGTAACACCGCTGGCTGGAATAACAGCTGTCAGAAAGCAATTGGATTGCGCCAGGTTTTTATATGTTTGTAGAATTAATATCCCAGATTATAAACACTTGAGTGGTTCCCCCATGTTACCTCAGAGCTCAGTGGTAAACCTTCTCGTGCTGTGCTCACAGGGTGTTGCTACAAGTCATAAATCACAGGGAGCTCAGGGGGGAATGCAGTAAAACTGTTCTAAATTCCTTCCATCTTTTAAATTATATGGCTATTCTTTCCTTTTGGCCTTGCACCAGCTTACTTGACGTGTTTGCGATGTCTGATCCGACACAAAGCTTTAAGTTGTTTCAAAGTGCACGACAAAAACTTTGAGTGAGGCAGCTTTTAGTTTTACGTTGGGAGCCGTTAAAAAGTTCTGCTCCAAATCTTCCCCGCTGGCTCTTGACTAGAAGGTTTTATTGCAGTTTATATACAGTTACAATTTAGGAGCTTTTAACTGGTCATTAAACTGTAACAATTTCCTACATATGACCTACATAAGTAAACACACTTTCCAGAATCGTATTTTTAAATTAGAGGTTTTCTGAAGGGACTTCGGACACACGACTGCACAAAATGAAGGCTGTTGTAGCTTTAAATGTTCACGTAATTGTATTCATGTTTTTAAATGCTTTTCATTCTTTGTGAATCTAGTTCAAACCTAATCTCATTCTTTTATTTCTTCAACTCCATTTTGCCCCCCCGCTTACATTTCCCATGTCTAATCATCACCTTCTTCCTCTAACTTGTCCACGCGTGTAACTTGTACATGTTGCATCTCATTCAACAGCTGCGCTGCATCAGGCCGAAGACAAGATAACTAGCAAGACACACAGAAAGAGTCACATTTGTCAAAGCTCCAGAACCTGCGTCCTGCACGCAAAAGATAAGAATCGGAGTGCTTGCAGCGTCGCCCGAGAGACCTCCGGCACGAAGCCCTGCTGGACCGGCCGCGGCCCACCGGCTCGGCCCCTCGCTCTGGGAACCCGCTCCGGGGTTTTAGCAGAAGGCGCTGCTGTAAATATTTACGTGCCGTGTCCAGCAGCTCTTAGAGACGGAGGACACCTTGAGATTAAGTGACTCCGTGACCTATTTACTGCAGGCCGAGCCGGGCGTGAGACCTTTTGTTGTTACATGAAATGAGTAAATGTTAACAGCAACAGTCTACACATATTGCGGCAGTAAAATATATCATCTAGCATATTCTACACACAATAGACGTCAGTAAATGTCAATGTACGATAGATGTGTCACTCACCTGGAAAACACGTTAGAAGATGCAGGCGAGTTAGTGAGGATGAGTCTGTGTGTAGAGTAACTACACTTGTATAGCCGCTCCCCTGACACACACCCACACCCACACACACACCCACACACACACCTTCCTATGGGCTGTGCAATGTGTTCCCGCGGGGGGCCGTGGAGCTCACCGCTCACCACAGAGTGACGGGCCTCCACTACACGTCGTCCTTCTCCGACGCAGAGGACTGCGGCGACGACAGCGGCTCGGGCGGCTCGGCGGACTCTGGACCTCGGTGTAAATAAACATGAATGTAAAAAAACTGCCCCACGCGGCCTCATCGGAGTCCACGGTGATGAACATGTTTTGTCGCCTCAGTCCAAAAACCAAAAGCTTGTCAGTTGGATTCAAGATTAGACAAAGAAACCTACATTTTCTACTATTTTTTAAATACTTTCACTAATACACATGATGGCATTTATCACGCGTGATACGGATTTATTGAAAAGATGAATAAATCGTTTTAACGACCGTTCCACATTAAATGATGACAAATGATGACGTCACAATGACGTCATGGCACAACGTCCGATTCCCCTTGTTTCGCAACCGGCTGTTAAGCCCCGTGTTTTGCCCGCAGTGTTTCGTGCAGCGACCTTCTCAGCAGGAGCGACGCGCCGCGCAGAAGGAAGCGTGTGCGGGCTGCCAAAGTCAAAGAGTGACTACTCAGTTTATGAAATCTGGGTTTTATAGTTCTGCAATGTCCAAAATAAAGTGGTTAGATGTGTTCAATACATACTCTACCAGTAAATGACGATGATGGGATTTGATAAACACATTAAATACGAAAAAAGAAGTAACTGAACTGAAACCCTATTTTCCAGTCTCCCCAGTGGCTCCATGTTCCAGTAAAACCAGTCCACTGAGTGTCTCTCTGTCTCAGTTGAGCCAGTCCACTTGGCTTCTGTATCCCAGTAGAACCAGTCGACTCAGTGTCTCTCTGTCCCACCAGTCCCCTCAGCGTCTCTGTGTCCCAGTAAAACCAGTCCCCTCAGCGTCTCTGTGTCCCAGTAGAACCAGTCCCCTCAGCGTCTCTCTGTCCCAGTAGAAATCAGTCTGCTCAGTGTCTCCAAAGAGCCAGTCCCCTCAGCGTCTCTGTGTCCCACTAGTCCCCTCAGTGTCTGTGTTCCAGTAGAACCAGTCCCCTCAGCGTCTCTGTGTCTCAGTAAAACCAGTCCCCTCAGTGTCTTTCTGTCCCAGTAGAACCAGTCCCCTCAGCGTCTCTGTGTCCTACCAGTCCCCTCAGTCTCTGTGTCCCAGTAGAACCAGTCCACTCCGTGTCTCTCTATCCCAGGAGAGCCAGTCGACTTGGCCTATGTATCCCAGTAGAACCAGTCTGCTCAGGGTCTCCGTGTCCCAGTAGAACCAGTCCACCCAGTGTCTCCGTGTCCCATCAGTCCCCTCAGTGTCTCTGTGTCCCACTAGTCCCCTTAGTGTCTGTGTTCCAGTAGAACCAGTCCACTCCGTGTCTCTCTATCCCAGTGGAACCACTCTGCTCAGTGCCTCCGTGCCCCAGTAGAACCAGTCCACATGTCCTCCATGTAGGTAAAATCGGAGGGTTCACCGTTAGCATTTTAGCCGTTAGCTTAGCACGTTAGCTTCACTCAACCTGCGGCTGTTAGTGATGAAGACAGAGTGGGAATTCCTTTCCCTTGTTTACCTCCCCGTTAGAAACACCGGGAGTGATTCACCTGACGGCTCGGGGGGGGTCTAAAAAAAGTACCACGTGATCAATCCCCCTCCTTTGGAAAGCAGCTGTGGCCTCGGGGAGCACATTTCGTCTGGGATGTTGCGGAATTTTGAGTGAGACATTCGGATTCCTTTTTGCTCAACCTGCCGCGGCGGTGCGGCCCGCGGGGAGGAGGCGCGTCACGGCCGCCGCGTCACCGACGCGCCTCCTCCCCGCGGACCGCTCTCACCTCTTAAAAGCGGCGGCTTTTACGCACGCATCGCACCCACCGACCGGAGAGCTCCTCGTCCCCTCCAGCCGCGGCAGACTAATCACAGCATGGCAGCCCCGATAACGAGCGAAGCCTTCTCCTGCTTCCTGTTCTACGGCGTGCTTCTGGTGGTAAAAATGTACATTTTGGCGATAATAACGGGACAAGTGAGGCTGCGCAAAAAGGTGAGTGGCTGCGAATCACCAAGAAGGGTCGAAGGGGCGAACTTTTTTTCGGCGTGAGTTCTGCCGCGGCACGTTTTCACCTCCATGAAAACTTTTCTTTTTCTTCCACCTTTAAAAGGCTTTTGCAAACCCCGAGGACGCGCTGAGACACGGAGGCTTGCAGTTCCACAGAGAGGACCCGTACGTGGAGAGATGCCGCAGGTGAGAGACACCGATCCCCCCATACAAGTACGCGTTAAAACTCTGTGGACTTAAATGGGATGGATGTATTTGATATGCTGTTGGGCAGCCCAGTCTATTAGTACGCATACATGTTATAAGCTCCACCTAAGCTTTGACATCAGAGGAGTGTCTGGCACGATATGGAAAAAAAGTCCTTTCATTGGGTTGATTCAGTCTGTGTATCTGATTAGAAAGATGTTGAGTCCTTCTACATAAGCTTCTGTGGTTTAGTTGTGCTTGTTACAAACCTCCATGGGCGAAATAATACAAAAAAAATGAACTGCAGTTGTCAATTTTTCACTTTGTCACAGTGAAATCTTTCCCTTTCCACATGCCACTCTCCGGTGGGATCATGTGACTTGCTCCATTGGTTTTCAACAAGAGCCGACAGGCTTTAGGGGATGTGCTCGCATTACTTTGTTTTAAACTGGCAGGAAATGATCCGAGGCCGCGGTGAGCCTGTTTTCTAATCGGGAAAGCCTCCCAAGTTATTTTCCAACCTCCCGTCTATCCGGCTCATCTCGAAACTGTGATCGGGGAAACAACTCGCTCTCATCCGGATCTATTACCCAAACTCTGGCTCGGTTATTGATACATGTTTGGGAGTCGCTACAAGACCATTTTCCACTTGGTCTGCTTTGTCAAATTTGATCTCCTCCGCAAGAACAATCTTGTGAAAAAAAAGTTTCCCAAAAAAATCCCAATGGGCTGCAGAGAAATGAGCAAAATGTTCCGTCCGATTGGTCGTGCAACTGGGCTTCCCAGACGCCGGCCACCACGTCATGCGTGCAAAACAAATCCTCCCAATTGTTGGATTCCTCACTTCCCAGGTGACTAAATATTCAGGATAATTACCAGAGAAACCGTAACATAATCCAGGATTTGAATGAGTCACTGAAACATGGCAGTGAGCCTCCAGTGCGTCACAGCTGTATCACAACATTAGAGATTGAAAACACGTGTAGCTAAATCGCCTTTTCTTCCTTTTTTCTTTTTCTTAGGGCTCATGTAAACGACATGGAGAACATCCTCCCGTTCCTCTTTCTGGGCGCCATCTACTCCATGACCGGACCTTGCCTGGCCGTGGCCCGCACTCACTTCCTGGTCTTCTTCGTGGCTCGCTGTCTGCACACCGTTGCCTACCTGTTCGGCCTGAAGGCGCCGACCCGCTCGCTGGCCTACGTCGTGGCGCAGATACCGTGCGTCTCCATGGCTCTGCAGATCCTAGCAGCCGTCGCGGCGTACGCCTGAATACCCAGCGAGGGACTGAACTAGGTCTTTTTTTTATATAGAAGAAGCACGGGGAGGAAAGCGGAGAGGCCTCCTGTGTGGCAGAACACAAAAGACAAGACTGTCAGTGAGAGTGCAATACAAGGTGTGTGTGTGTGAACACACCACGGCCGGGTTCTGGGAGACTTTGTCAGTATTTTTATTGTTCCATCTACAATGTTGAAATGTGAGACTGTCGTAACAGGCAACATCCTGTTCTGTTTATATGTAAAATCAAGATGAAGGTTGTTTCACAACTTTTGTGTGTTTGACCAGGTTCTGTTGAAATGAACCGAGGGAAACTAACCCGCACTTGCGGTGCGGTTCGTCTGTCTGGTTACTACATTTTAAGGAAGAAGAAAAAAGGAATCCTATGACTGTTTGACCTGCAAAAGAATGTGGCAACAACCTGCAGAAAACAAAAATGTTGAAAGAATTGTTACCTGTGAAAATGTATTTTTAGGCTGAAAGTATTGTAATTTATTAACCGTTGTAATGTATACAGATAGGTTCTATGTATTTTTGTAGGCAATAAAACAATTGATGCATGAGCCCAAGTTTACTTTCAGCAGACTCTGCCTGCTCGTGCAGAAGATTCCTGTTTAAAGGAGCCGTGCCCCACTTTGTGTGTTTTCACGTGAAAGTGAGGATACGAACGTCCGTGGCAAAGCTCCAGCATTCCTCCATCTATTATGTAAGATCTTTGGCTCTGTGCTGTGTTCGCTGTCATATTGAGAGGGGCCAGGAGGGATCAGGCTCGGCTTGGTCGTTTCTCAAACCCGTGTGAATTGATAATAATAATAATTTCTCAACCCTAAAATTGTTTTTTCTTCCCCTAGAAATGTAATTTCCAGTGAAATGTAATTTCCATGATTATGGAGTGTAGATTCCAAACAAAAGGAGAAATAACAAACCCTGTGAAGACTGGAAAAGCCTGATCCTTTGCACTGAGTGGGTGAATGAGCATTAGCGATGAATGTGGGTGAAACATAAAGCTGAAGTCGGTGACAAAGCGGTGTGACTGCATCCGGCATGCGTCAGCGCCGGGGTCGTCTCAACTCGCCCATCGCTTGAGGGTGAAAGGAAATTAGGCCTCTCTTTGCTCTCCCTTTTCAGCCGGTGAGGTAATTTGAGGAATGAGTTGTAGAGTCTGACTCTCGCCCAAAAATCACAGCTGCTGAGTGACTACAAAGTTACGAGGTTTTCCTTGTTTTCATGTCCGATCAGGAGATGACTTGTACAGTTTTTTGTTGCCGGTGGCAACTCCGTTGCCTGTGTTTTTAATGGCTGGGATGGTGCATTGTTTCTTGGATGTGGGTTTAAAGACAAAGTGAGAGACAGCGTTTAAGTAACCAAATAAATACTCCTTTATCTGTCGATTAGGTGATTTCATCAAAGTGCAGTTACATCATTATTTATCTCCACCTCGTGGCCACAATCAGCAGTAAATAATGTCGGAGGAATTTTGGAATGTTTACTTCAGAGCAGGATTTTTTGATAATGTCTGAAATACACGTGTGGATTATGAAACATGGTCCCCGAGACACAAACATGAAGTCCCTTTTTGCTGTTTGTGTGTCTTTGTACCCCTAATTTCTTAATTGACAAAGAAAACCCAGCATGAGATCAAGGCCCACCACAGCTTTATAACTTTATTTATATTATTATTATTTAAAATGTTTTAACTAATTAAGCCAGCCTGACATGTCAAGTCAAATGCATTATTTCTCTTATTTTGTTAAATCCTGGCAGCAGATTTTTTGAATAAGCTGCAAACAGAAAATACAATTTTAAAAGCACATCTGAACTACTGATCTACTGTGTAAAGTATAAACGTCCCGCGGGGTTCGATGTTTCCCAGGTAAGATATAGGATTTTTAAAATAGAGTGTCAAAACAAACAAAATGTTTTCATAAATATTTATTACATATCAACGAACAGAATCGACTACTTTCACAGCAGTGGTCTACAGCACTTGTTTAAAATAATTGCTCAAATAATATTCATAATAATATCAATAATAATATAGTTCAGTTTCATTTGAGGCCACATTTGATACACAAACATTTACAAGTAGTACTTGGCATTAAAAACAATGGCGATACAATATTTTAAGACACTTGGTGTTTTTTTTGTTCATTTTCTTTCATTTTGATATCACAGAGAGGTTCAGCAACAGTCTAAACAGTAAATATTGATTAAAAATACAAAGAACGGAACAAAAAAACAGTGGAAATGCCAAGGGGAGGTAGGAACAAAGAGTACTTGACAGAAATACAAGAGAAGTAGGAACATTATACGTGTGGGAAGCAGCGTCACAATCCGTAATGGTATCCGGCAAGTCACCCAGAGTAATAAACACTAAAGTACCTTCTTAAACCCCCCCCCCGTTCTTATACTTCCCTTTATAGTCTTTCTGAGTTGTGTTCTAGTGTTCACACCGATACGGGCGGGAGAACAGGAGGCGCGAGCGGTAAAGATTAGGAGGCTCATGCAAGTTCCTCGTGCTCACGTTAGCAAAGTCCGAAACCCACTGCTCCCAGTCTGCGTTGGACCCCCAAAGAGCGCTCGCCTTGGGCCTCACCCGCTGCCTCACATTGCACCACTCGGAATCGCCTTTCGGTTTCGTTCGCACTCACTCACAGGACTTATGCAACGAGTGCGATTGAGTACCGGCTGCTGAAACGATGTGGCGGAGCTGCACTGCTTGGGAAATGTTCGATGGATGTCTGGGAGCTAAACCGCCATGCCGGCTTCACTTTATAAGAAGGAGCGCGTGAATAAAGTATTTAGGAGTTGTGATTGTGGGACATCAGGGGTGTGTTGGTCACGGCGGAGGGACTCCTGGGTCAGAGAGTTCAGTTATCTTAATTGCAAATCACTTAAATTGTTTAAACTGTCAGGGTTCTTGCTCCTGACATTTTTTTGCCGGCGTAACGTTGGATTGAGAGTCAGTTTTTCTACGCTTCAGTAAAAAAGAATGGTGTGCGAGGAGGGGAAATGATGAAATTGAAGAGACAGTTTTAGGTTTAAAGAGTTCTTCTTGTGACATCACTCCACTTCTCATCGTTCCAGCCACTCATTTGAACGTGGTTGAAGAAATCCTGAAACGTGCGAATGAGGCGAATACCGCCATGACGATGTCCTCAACCGGGTTTGACGTTTGTTTACGATGTCGCAGACGTTAAAGTTTCCATGGAAGCAATTAGGGAGCAGAAGTCCCGTTACAGGAAGCAAACATGTCATGCAGTTTTAAGAACGCCTCATTCTTATGAGTGAGGAACCTCCGGTGAGTGAATCTATCCAGGCTGAATGGAGTTGTGGGACGCCATATTGTAATCCGATGAGGACTACAATCATGGCTGCTACTGTCAAGACACCGGGTGGCTGTGAGAGGAGTAGATCAGTGGAGGATGCTGGGAAATGGCCCATGTGGAAGACTTTGCCCCCCCCGGCCGTGTCTACCTGCATACTGTGAATCGGGAGAATAATGACTAGGATGTGCAGAGAGCATAAAAATTCATACTGTCACTAAATATTGGAATAAAATTGATTTTATAATATATCTATAAATATGCATCACAGGCATACGTGCCTGTCGCTGTCTATGCTTTTTCATGTATAAACAGATGTACACACACGGAGCATATCATACAACATTTGAGAGTGGATCGGAAATAATCACATAATATACAACACATAATAAGCTCTAGTAAGACGGGGATTTTTGTCGTGCCTTGGTGCGCAGATTTACATTCAGTTTTGTGTTTTTGGGATCAATCCGGTAACATTATCTAATAAACCACGGGCACCTGACTCAACCTCAACCGCCTCTTTGGGTTATTCTCCTGCGGCGCACACACACACACACACACACACACACGCAGCGAGCCGTCACACAGTGGCGTGTGCACGCAGGCATCTTCCACCCCCCCTCTGCACTCATCTGGTCTAATGACTGGGACACAGGGATGCAAAATGACAAAAAAAAGGCAAGAAAACTCATTTAAAAACCATATAGATTAAAACAATACAAATAATAGTGACAATACAGGAGCGGAGGGGCAGAAAAGTGCAGGGCGGGATTGTCTCGTTCACTTCAGGTCCAGGATTTCTTCTTCGAAGGACGTGGACAGGGCGAATGCGCTGGCGAGGGGCGGGCTCTCCTCTCGCAGCGCCACCATCTCTGGCTCGGCCTCCGAGCTGGGCGAGCGATGCAGCTGGACCTCCAGGTCTTCTTCGACGGACTCCGAGGCCAACCTGCAGATCGGAAACACACGACTGGAGCTCGCACCGCGTCGGGCGACCGCTGAACGTGCGAATGTTGCTGATGCGGACTCTTGATACCTGTCGCTGTTGGTCGACGTCAGGGCTCGCGGTTTGGGGTCGTCCTCGGTGCTCTTCTTGCTCATCTTCCTCTGTTTGACCGTCCCGCTGTCCGGCTTTCCACTCGGTTCCTCCGTCAGGCCTTTGGTTGTGTGAGAATAAAATGCAAAAGGAGTTAAATGGATGGTTCGATGTTCGGGACAACAGATAAATACGTCTCTAAAGGCAGAAATAACGTCTGGAAGCCAATAGAAAAAACTTTCTAAAGGAATCTCTTTAGGCTGTAAAGGTTCATAATTACCACATTATCGGTTTCTTAGTCTGTAAACTAAAATGATCTGCTGGTATCTCTTCGCCAACCTGTCATTTAATTCATTGCTTTACCGCTGTGGCTGATACATCAACACAATATACATTTACATATACATATATACATATATATATATATATATATATATCGTTTTTTTTTTTACCAAGCAGCTCCTTGCGCGTACGGCTGGCTATCTCCTTGATTTCCATGCGTGAGAGGGACAGCGAGTGCGTGGCGGAGATGAGGGGCGATGGCGGCGCCACGGGGGGGCCCGGCGTCGTCAGCACCTTATTCACCAGGGGGGACTTGAGGGGTCTTTCGATGCTGCGCCCCACCAAGTTACACAGAGGGATCTTGAAAATGTGCTTACATGCCGGTTCACCTGCGGGAGGGTGGGGTGGGGGAGGTGGGGGGGGGCCCAGAGGAAGAGGAGGATGGGAGAAGCAGTTAGAAGGAAGAAAGGAGCCACGTGAAGTGACATGAAAAGAGCAAAAATGGAGAGTCAGAGAAGAAACATAAATAACGGGTGAACTTCAAATGTTGACAAAATTAGAGTCCACTGGGTATTTATTTGTCAAAGAAAGTGAAGTTTCTTGCTTCCCTCTAATGCAGCTAATGCTAACATGCATATCAAACGTCTTCATGTTTACCGGACGGCGGCATCGACCATCTTGTTCAACCCCCAGAAAATTAACTCTTTTGAAGCCTTTCTTGGCGTTGCATTCAAAGACCCTCTCTCGTGTGCTCCATCAATGGAAAAGCAAAGTGACAACACAAACAGCAAGCCAACATTCTTACTGCTGTAGGTGTAGCTAAAAGGACATGTGAACTGGTGATTCCGTGTATTTAAAAAGAGTCCTTGAATGCAACGTTAGAAATCCTTTTCAAAGCAAGCACAGACTGCAAAAGCATGAAACTAAAATAAAAGTGTTTATTGTAATGGATGACTAACGTCAAGCAAGTTACCAAGCCTCTGCTAGTCAATTTTCAAAGCGCTTGAAAATGAATGGTAAACAATGGCTGCCTAGAATACAAGTTATGCAAAATGACCTCTTTGTGACTTCATGCAACGGACCCAAACCTCCAACGAAGACAAACTAAGGTGATTAATGGTCCTATTTACTGAAACAGCATGTGATCTTTAAATGAATCATCCTCACTTCGGATAGCTAATGTGATAGTTGTAATCATTTACAGCGGACCATCCATTACCCAGCAGAGGCTATAAACGCTTAAAGTCAAATGGACGTCAGGAGTCTCTCAAATGGCACAATCTGCAGTGTGTCGTCCTGCAGCGCCTAATTGTGCCATCGGGGAGCAGTATTGCCGTTCGGCAGCGCTTCTCCGTGGATGCGGGCTGATGGCAACATGGATGCGAGTGAGTCAATGTGGAGGCTGTGCGGCACAAAGGGGTCTCATCCGAAATGTCAGTGGGTGAGAGGTGAGTTAAGAGCCTCGGGGGAGAAATAGAGGGGTCGCTGCCGATGTCCGACAGGTACACTGTGTTACCGTTGTTACCGATCCGTTTTCTCCTGTTAGCAGCGAAGAATGGCGGTAAACCAAAAACGCGGGGGGAAGGCGTGCAGTTATTCAGAATATATAGTAGGAGATCAATATATTCCACATGCGTTTCTGGACCAGGGGAAGTGTCACACTACATCACACGGGCGAATAATTCAATATTGATATTTAGGGGTATTTTCAGCACTAATTGAGGTCAAATTATCCACAGCAGGGAGCTGTTTTTTTCTGCTGCAGGTCTCTGGCGTGTCTTGGAGCCGGTGGAGGGAGGTGGCAGCCAGCAGCCACATCAGTATCGGGATCTGGTTCACATTACTGGTGCGATTACATCAGATGAAACTCTCCCCAAGGAGCAGATACGGCAGGCGCATAGTTGCTGAGAGGATGAGGATTTTTGTCAGCAGCCCTTCTACACCCCCCCCCCCCTCCCTCCCTTCCCTTCCCACCCCCCTATCCCACCCACAAATGTGGTGCTATTTGGAATACCACTTTGGATCGAAGAGAGAAGCTGACAAAAGTCTCCATGGCGACAGTGCAATCGGTAAATCATGCTGCGGCAGACGTGTCTTCTCCTCCCTCGTTCCCTCTTCCTCCCTCCTTCATTCCCGACCTCTTAAACACCGCCCCTCCTCTTTCTCTCGCACTCATGCATACCCTCTCTGCTGCTTCTCCTCCCGCCTGGAATTACCCCCCCCACCCCACTTTGATCGACGTTATCTCCTCACTTTTTTACTTTGCACTCTATCGCCCCCCACTCTCCCCTCGCACTAAAGCTGTTTTATTAGTTCAGACAGAAAGGGGGTGGAGGGGGGAGACATTATGTTCACTTAACATTCAACCAACGTTCAAGTCAACATGCCGGCAGGGTGGTCGGGTCGGGCAGCGTGTGCGTGTTAGTGTGGCGGCATTATGAGCGTCAGTTTCATGAACTGAGGACGAGTTGTGGGAGAAATCCTGCAGTACCTTCGGCATCCTTAGACATGTACAGGGAAAGCTTGGTACCATAGGGGATCCGTATAGAATCTGAACCAGGGATGAAGAAGAGGGTTACACAAAGTGAACACACACACACACACAGAAATATACACACACGCACACACACACAACAGGTGTATGACTCAGTCCTGCAGGATCATATGAGTAACCAGCTAAATCAGGAACGAAAATGAGACTCCCTTTGAGAGGAATGATTACCTGAACCCACCCAAAAGCATAAAGCCCATCCTCGGCTAATTGCAGCGGCGGCAGTCAAACTTTCCTCCCCATTAGCCTTAATGTGACCTGTAAAAACCCGCTGCTCGCTTTGATCGTGCACACATGCGGAACATTTCAATAATTGCTCTCCACAAGCCTCGTCCTTTCCCCGCGGCCGTCGGAATTACAGGGATTCGTCTCGGGACGTCTTTGCGTCCCTTTTTAAACGGCCGGAAAGTCTAATGACCAATCGAGAAGTTGACTCTGTCCGGACCCATTAGTCTACAAACCTGCACGCCATTAATATGCTTCATTTTCAGACAGTCGTATCAGTCAGGGGGAGGTCGGCTGAGAGGGTCGGGGTGGGGAGACTCCGAACGGTCAGACACAGAATGAAAGATGGAGGAGGAGAGTGTAACAGTGGGACGCAGAGCGGAAAGTAGGCGATCGTATTGATCCTCAATCATCCTTGAAGGCCCGCTCCGCCTCTTATTGTGTGGTGATGGTGGGAGGTATCTGGATGATTAGAAGATCTTATTTTAACGAATTACACCTACATAAGTGCAAGCTAATTTATGATGTTGTGATGCTATCCTTGCATTAAAGTTAAGTTTATGGATATCTCGTGAAAACAGACGGAAAATATTCACGGACCTTCCAAAATCGAATGGTTGCAAATGCAGAATACAAACATTTTTAAAATCAGCATTAAACTCTTGAATGTCAGATGGTCCTCAAATGCACCACAGGTCTTCAAAAATGATATTATTATTATTTATTGAGATTAATTAGCCTTCCTTAAGTTTAAAAACCCAGAAATTTGTTTTGTACGATAAGAAAGGATGATGTATTAATGAGGGGAACGATGAATGCAATTGAATTTGTCATCCTAGAAACCCACTGATCCCACTGTGAGAAAGAAACTCTGGAGGAGAAACAACAACTGTGAATCTGCTGAAACATGTTTATGGAAACGTCTCGGTAGGCTAGCATCCAAAGTCAAACAGAGCTCCAGGCAGAGCTGTGCAAAATACGCTAAAATAAAAAAAATAAAAAACTGAAGCTATTACAACCAACATCCGTTTGGTGATTTTGCTGAGCGGGGCTTACCGTCACCGAGCGGCGAAGGGAACACGGGCATCTCGTAGCCGGTGGGCGTCTGAGGGGAACTCTGCGAGCTCGTGTCTCTCGAGCTGCAGTTGGAGGCTGAGCTCACCGGAGCCGAGGAGACAAAATAAATGTCTGACTGTGGGAGGCAAAGCGGAAGGACGCGGGGAGGAAACAAGGTCAATCCGGAGACACAACAAACAAGCAGAGATGCTTGAGGATTACTGTGAGGAAAATGGGGACAAGCGAGGTGCGAACCCAGATTATTTATTTCCTAGTCCCCTGACTTACATCCTTAAAACAAAGAGTCAATGAAATACATCATTTATAAAGATGAAGTTCGCGTATGCAGGATGGGGACATTGTGCGAGCGCTCAATCATACTGACCCGCGAGGCAGCCAACTGTAGCTCCGGGACCACTGCTGTGTACACAAGGTTGCCGTTAACGACCAGCCGGATCTCAATGGAGTCCGTTGTGAAGGCCAGGATGTAAGGAAATGCACAAACTGCAACGACAGCATGTGCGTATGTTGAAAAACCCCCGGTGGTGATCAGTGCGACAACATTTGCTCACCGTGCAGAACGGCGAGAGACGCACAACATTCGGCCTGAGGATCCCTAGCTAGGACCGGGGACACTTTCCTCTGATTGTTCAACGAGGCGTGAGCCCACCGCGCCACCGAGGGAGAGAATACTTAAGAGTTTGGACATGTCACGCAGTCATTATGGCTCAGTGGACGCGAGTATTACAAAATAATAAACTGAAGGCCTTCAACATGTTTCGATATATTTGTTCTATTCCTCAGTACACTTTTTATTGCTGTGTGAGAGTGACTGTGAGAAAGGAGGACAGCAGCATGTTGTTGTCAACTGGGTCGGGTTACGGGTTTAATTTGCTTTTCATGCAATGCTTTTCTGCATTAATAAAAACAGGTGAAAACACAATAAACACACACACAAGTGCAAACACACACAAACAATCACACCGGCCAATGGGGCGCTCCTGGCGACACGTGGTGTTTCCGTGGCAACCGCAAGCTCCGGCCGGGCCGGCAGCATGGGCCGGGTAAGGGCCGGGCACTGTTGCCGTGGTAACCTACCAATAGCATTTGGCATCTGGTTCCAGCTGAAGTGGAAGTCGGAGGTGTTGGACTGGATCATCGGTGTGGAGCCGTTAAATGGACAAACCTTCTTGTAGTAGCAAATATCTGTCAGCACAGGAAACAGGTTCAACTTTCTAATTCACATTTCAAAAGGAGGTTCTTATTATTCTGGATCAGATCAGCTTTGGTTTTTATTCCGGAAACGAGACATTAAGGTTGAGCTTCGACAACCGAGACCCCGAATCAAACAATATCGGATATATATCCAGTTCAAGGAAGACTCACAGTTGTAACACAGCAGCAGACCCGCCTCTCCGTCTTCATACACATCGATGGCTGCCACAAAATTTACCTGCGGGCAGAGACGAGTCAGTTCGGGGGAACCGTTTCAACGACATCCAAAAGGTCAGGACGGAGAGACTGTTTTTGACAAATACACTTCTGCAGCAGTTTGCCGCTTATCCAGTTCCCTCTTTCAGCGCAGAAATGATTAAAGAAGAAAATTATGTTTTGTTATAACAGCTGTTACTCCGTATTTTCTCAGCTGGTGGCCGCCAATGACAACGTGTTGATTCACCCGGGCAGCCTGTTGCTCAGCAGGTAAATACAGCCACCGAGTGTCATGGTCGCGGATCAGAAATCCATTTGTGCCTCACCCTGTTGGCGTCCACGTGATGCAGCCGGTAGGCGTCGCCGGTGCTCTCATTGATCAGGTCAAACTGGTGCTTGTAGGCCACACAGATCATATTGTCGTTTTCCCCCGTCGGCCCGTCCACCAGCGCCATCACCACCGGCGGGTCGCACAGACAGATCTCCTGGTGGGTGAATGAAAGGTAGGCAGTGACCACAGTGCTCGCGCGCACACACATACTCAGTTTATTTGACATCGGAGTTAACGACATCAATCGTCAGTGCCACGTCTGTGTAATTGGGGGATTTAAAAACCATCAGTCATGTTGTTTGTTGTACCCTTATGTATTGAAACTCCTCCACCGGGGAGTCCGCTGCCGGGGCGACGGCGCTCACGCCTTCAAACCGCGGGTGTCTCCTGGTGATGAGGAGGAGTTTGTTCCTGATGGCGGCCACAATCCTCAGCTCTGAGCCGTGGTGGGTGTTGATGGAGTACCTATGACAGCCTGGTACTAAAAAGAAGATTATGAGCACGAAGATGAAAGAAATGATAGCTACATCAGCTTCAAATATCACCCCTGCTTTGTTCTGCTCATGAAGGTTAAAATGCCTGCTGCTTAATTATTCCTTCTTATCCGTAAAGGCTTTTTGAAGTGCATCCCTCTGACCGGGCAGATATATCACCCGGGGTGAGAAAATTATCAACAACTGAATTAGGCAATTTGGGGGGGGTAATACCGCGGGGTAATAATCCTACGGTAAATTTTCCGGATTACTCCCGCAGAAATTATTCCTGG